ACATGCGAATAATTCAATAGTACATTTGGAAAAACATTTGTTTTGACATTTGATGTACTTCCCTTTAACAACGGTATCATGTACCTCATGTACTGCGAAATAGACACGGTTGGCATTTAAGATGACGTTACGTATTTTCGATTCCCGTGTTTGCAACAGACCAATGAATGCTATCTCTTTTGGCTTAAGACGGCACGCAATAGTTAAACAAAGACAATAACATGTTTATGTTTTCGACGTCGAAATGCATCATATACATATAACGTCTGATTTAGATATGTCAACGTAACATGTCCTTTAGTTTCCATAATCTAAAGTGGGAACCCAATCCTTGACAGTCGTATGTTGAGGTGTCAAACACTAGGACGTAACTAATATCAACTATTGGTTACAGAAATTGTGCAATGAGAAAATGCCACCAAGGGAGTAACATTATTCGGAAGATGATACTAAAGGCGACTGATGAAGTATCTAGGGGATTCTTATCACTGCAAGATGAAAATATTTTTGATGTTATTTAAAACTGCATTTATGTTATGGTCGTGTGACATTTAAATTTAATTTAGCCATGCAAAAATACCGCAAACATTTATTATTAATTTTAATAGAATTATCTCCCCTGATCTGAATATTAACATAAAGTCCTGTTAAATACTGGTACTCTGATCTTACTTTACCATAGTCAACTATTGGGACATCAGATATCTTTTCTATCATACAAGGATACAATTTTAGAGGTTGCGGAAAACTGGAATATTTTAATAATGCTATGATTATTAAAAATTTTATAGTTTCTAGAAGATAAATGATAAACCGTTTAATATGTTTACATTTGTAGGTAGGCAGTATGACTGATAATTAAGTACTTTTTCGGCAAAACACGGATTTTTCGTCTAAAAGCGTCAACCATTGGGACATTTACCTTAATGTATCATTTATTTATTAATGACACATTATTCTTTAGTTCTGTTGAACTAAAGAATTTAAATTACAATTAATTATTTTTCCTGTAATAAACAGACTAACAAAAAACAATAGTTTATTTGTTTATTTAACGTGTAATACAATACGAGAAAGAGACAATACATTAAAGTAAAACAAATGTGAAATGGTTCTATGACTCAGTTGCGGAGTACTATGAAGGACATTGCCCTCGCTGATGTTCTGCCATTGCCCTTAATAGGTAAGAACAGACAAAAAATATTATTAAACGCAGACGCCTCAGAAAAATGCTAATAATTATAATACAAAATACTTAATTTATACTTACTTAATACCTAATTGTGAATGCAAAATGTTCGAGACCAATACATTGTGTCCATATAAGCCACGAATTATAAGAAGCTCCCACGATTGCCTGTCTAATTGTCTAATAGCCATTGTGGGTATTTGCGTCTGAATGTCCTTAATGATAGAGACACTGCCCCTCTTACAGGAGAAGTAGGTCATTCCATATTTTAGATTAAGCATATTTAATAATAAATAATAATTTAGAAGCAGTGGAGCTCCTTGCGAAAGAGTTCATCTAGGGCGATATTGCCACCTTACCTGTTTCTGCCGCCAAGCGGTAATGCGAACATTACTGCGGCCCGGTTTTGACGGGTAGGGTGATGGTGAAATTACAGGCAAATAGGACTTGTCAAGTTATTTCTCTGGGTGACGGGTGCAGTGGCAGTGCCCCTCAGAATTTTGTGATTTAAAGCTCTGAGTGACGCTGCAACTGTTATGGACAGACATGTCGCTTATTACCAGGCCCATGACTTATTCGTCCCATAACTTGGTATTATAAAAATAAATATTATCACGCAGTCCCTTAGCACACTTTTGTAGTAGATATGTAGGTATACATTTTTTAAATAGACTTAGAAAATAATCATAACTTTTTTATGAAAAAAAAAAAACATCATCAAAAGTTTGTCAAAAGTCGTTAAAAACCAACCTGATATCGTGTCTTTTGTATAACTTTTTGTTCGGAGCAAATTGTAATATAACCCTGTCATTTGGAACCCCGTCCACCACAACCACACATAAACATTAGAAAAAATTCAAAAGACATTTGCTCGAAATTTATACAAGAACATGTACTTTATCCCAGGATAATAATTTTAGGTATGGTAAACTATAGAATGCTAGAAGTGAGACGCAATTTGGCTGTTGTAACTTATATGTTTCGTTTGGTCCGGGAATAATAATATACAACCCATTTTTGTTGTCCAAGATAGGCTTTTAGGTACCTAGAACTAATTTGTTGCGACTTCATACAATGAGGTTATTTGCAGTACCTATCACACGATGTACAGTGAGTGAGATGGCCCCTCTGTCCCGAGCACTTATGTGCCTAAATCAGTTGATTAACTTTGTCCTCGTTGGATTTTTTTGTATGCTCAGAATCAAAATTCATGTTTTTCGCAGGACGCTATCTGGAGGCCTTGACCGGGGACAGCGGCATTATGTAAAATTATATGCCAGTTAAAATGTAATAACAAACGCATTTTCTTTATTAGTTAATTAATGTTAATCTGTAATAATTTATTGTTTATGTTATTGTATTTGATGCCCTAATGATAACTGACCTCCGGTAGGAGATGACACCTCAAGAAGAAGGTATTGTACATATTTTATTTTTTATCGATTTCCATATTTTGTTGAATATTGTATTTTACTTAATACTGTTTGTTCATTTAGCTTTAAGTCTTACTATTGCATTTGGGTTGACTGTAAGCAATGTGTAATAAATAAATAAATAGGTAAATCTGTTTATCTCTGTTTGCGGTCTCCTCAACGATACTTGAAACGCAATTGAAGTCATCGTCGACATTAATCATATGAGCCCAAACATAAGGTAGCTGTACACAGCTGAGGAGTGCCTCTCATCAGTTTGCCATTTCTATCAACTGATTAGCTCTATAACCTAGAGCTAATCTGTCAGATAAAATAATATTTTAATTGAAATTAAATACATTTGCGTGACAAGTGTTATTGAAATCAGTTTACGGTAAGTCGGTGAAATTCAATAAACCGGATTTATCCCCTAACGTGAAACCTCCTCCTATTTGAAGTCGGTTAAAAAATAATCGGGAATAAGGCATACTGAGAATCCGATTCTTGAAATGATGAGGTGTATTCTCTCTTTCCTTGGCACTGCATAACAAAAATATACATGTATGCTACACCCTCTGAATTGATTTCATGGTTTTTTTCAAACAGAAAAGGTTAATAAACTATATGGCAATGGCTTTAGGTGGGACAATACTAAAGAATTGCACAATACAGAGAGAATGTTTTGAATTTGAATGGTGACGTTAATATAAGGTCGGATTTCATTCAACGTTCTGAGATCCCCAAAACATTTACCAATATGGCGTCAAATACACGAAATAGTGTTGTTGTACAGTGGGAAATTCTAGACGGTTTAGTAAAGCCAGCTACTTTAACCGTTATAACTGTTGTATGTATATATATATCAAGCATTTATTTGTAAGTCAATGCAAGCACTGCAAAAAATCTGTTTCTGGCAAGGATCAAGTCTATGTAGACCAACACGGTGACGGTAATACTTGAAATGTCAGAAATCGTAAAAAACTTTAACCACGCATTCGGAGTGGGATGCACAATAATCAGTATATACAAAATAGGAAACGGTGAGTTATGTTTCATAAAAAATAAGTATAGGATAAATTTTATAAAAAAGAAATAAAATAAATAGTGTTCAACACTTGAAATACTCACACAATACAATTTTAAATGGAATCTATACGAATAAAATTTTGGAGTCTACTTGCTCTTTGCGGAAAAGAGCGAATGAATGCATCGTGTTAACGAGGTGATCAATTGTAACCCTTTCTAATTATAGTATTTTTCTTTCTGTCATTGTACTTATTTTGAAAAATAAAGTATTAAAAATAAAGTGTTCACTTTTTTATTAATATACTGACAAAACATTTACAATGCCTTTTATTTACTAAAGAATGTTGCAATTTATTATCAATTTTACGAATTCTTTGCTTAGTTTTTATTAGTTAATTTTTATTACATAATTAAAGTAATTGTAATTTAATCGAAACATTAAGAAACTCCTTGCTAGTAAATATTTCAATTAGGCTCGTGTAAATTAAAAAGAAAATATTTTTCATTAATAGGGCGTAAAGTAAGTACTTTTTCGCAATAAAATCTTTAACAAGTTCAGTCGTGTATGGAGTACTGCTGTCACCTTTGGGACGGCTCTACACTTAGACTATGGAAACTATTTTTTTCCATCCTCTAAGGCTCTACATGATGTCTGTTGACTGCCATGGACTCGGTGGAAAAAAAGCAAACAACTAAAAACTCTTTTGTAGAGTCGAAGCTTCCAAGTCTCGATCACTTCTGCGGTCTGTTTGCCTGTCTATTTTCTTTCGGAGAGTGTGCAGGAACTCACAATTTAGTTCCATCCTCGCTGATCCTCCTACGGACAATTAGGAAGTGAGAAATACACCATCCTTATGTTATTAACTTGCCAACCATAACCACGAAGCCTTGTTTCATCTTTCCCGATGTCTACGGCAGAGGAGTGGAGTACACTGCCGACATCTGTGTTTCCGTAAAGCTATAATTTGGGGCTTTCTTAAACATTTACTAGACAAACACTTCATATCGTTAGCTACCTCGTTGTTTAATGGTATTTATTATATTTCGTCTATTTTATATTAAAAAAAGGACAAAAAGTTGACAACTTTTACACTAAGGCGAAAAAGTACCACAACTCGCACGCATCGCCTTTATAAAAATTTATTCTTTATTCTTTCGAACAATAATATTTAAAAATAAACATTGCACGAGTTGCAGCCACTTTCCATAATAAAATGATTTACTTATGTTTGCAATTAAAGTACCATTATTTGACAAACACATTTTTACCGTGACGCATTTTGCATTATATAAAAGTGTGGTGTTTTTGTCTTTCCTTGTAAATACTTGGATACACTGCTTCAAGCATGCAATGCAAGTAGAAAACTACATTAGTACTCATCTGCCGCAAAGAAAATTGCACTCGCAAACTATAGAAGCACGTTTAACCAACGGTGATTAAAAATAAGGTACGTGTATTGCTTTTTTGTAGCAAGACTTTGTTAATGTGCATTAATACCTATTTATTTTTGACATGATATGTTGCAACAACTATTCAGTAGGAACTAAATTATTTGTCAAAATAACTATAGTATTAATATTCTGGATTGCAAAGATATCGTGTTTTACATATTTGTAATGTATTGCATTTGAAGGCATCCCATACATGTATACAGCATGTATTTCGAATGTTTCGAGTAATGATCTGATGAAAGCTCATGTACGCGTGCCTGCCTTATCCCTAAAAAAGTTAGGCTATATAAAGTTACAATAATTTACCGAAAGTACTAAGGTCTGAGAAAGACCTTATGCAATTTAAAAAAGCAATGAAATAACTTATTGACTAATATTTGTATAATATATAGTGACCGATTTTTTAAATGACAAATTTCTAACTTCTAATAACAATACTTCCAATAAAATAACTATCACGTTTAAATTAATTGCGTTCACTCCTATGGGTAATTGTAAAAAAAAAAACTATACATTATACCTACTTATGTCTGTTGAAGTGCTTGTGGGTAAATCTATAATATACCTTTTCACCTCACTAGCTCGGAAAGGCTTTCTTTCTCGTTACAAAACTGCGCGCAAAAGCGTTTTTTGCACGGTAGCGTGGAAAAGGTTTTTGAAATTCGAACTTGACGATGGACTGTGGTGCATCTAACTTTTTCATTCGATGAAAAAAAAAAGGTAATCGATAAACACCTTCAACTACGCGATTGTTCGTATATTACTTATTTATGTAATCTAAATTCGTTGGTATATTTTATTTTTATTATTGTTGACATTAAATTGACAATGATAAATAATTGTGTTTATTAAATTATTTTAATTCGTCGAAGAACTAAAATAATCTCAATAATCACTTAATCAAACAAAATTATAGAAGTACTAGCAAGAATAAAAATTGATGATTTTTACTTTTGATTAAAAAGATTGATGTCCTAGAGTTCAACTGTTTTTTTTCTTTATTAATTTTATTTTTATTTATTATTTAATTTCTCTTATTCACCATTTTCCTCGCTATAGTGAGGTGAAAACTTGTGTGTTTCGCTCGGCAGCAAAGTTTTGCGTCTCGTGCCTTGAAACCCTCTCTACGCTCAGGAATCTATTTTTGAACCGTGGGTGGTTCGATCTTGCCTTCCTTCGCTTGCTCAGGTTTCAATACAAGCACTCGCGTCAAACAGCAACTTTGTAGCCTTGCATAACAAATTATTAGTGTTTGTATGCCTAATGTTTGATCGGGTACAGTTCTATTTAAAATTAAATTATGTTTTGTTACATATCGGCTACCAAACAACCTATGTTTTCACAAATTAATTAATTACGGATACTATACCTACTTCTCTTACTAATAAACCCACGTCATTTTAAAATATACAGCGTGCATTTGACAAGCCGTACAAAATTGGGTTCTTAATATTCTTTTGTGCTATTATTGTGCTATTGTGCCAAGGAAATTAATTAAAGTTTTGTTCAAGATTTTTTGTTTTCCTTTTTTTGCTTTTTTTAAGAAAACATGTGGGATAAGTTGTTGAGAGTTGACGTTATTACGGTCAACTTTGTTCTCCTTTTACTTATAAACTTAAGCGATCAATTTAAATAACCTTTAATCCAAATCACTTACCGTAATTTTCTTGCTTTTGTTGTAATACTTTTTCTTAGGGGCTCATATTATTAACACGGGTAATGTTGTCACACTTTGTACGTACACGTTACACAACGTTACTATAAATTTGGTTACGTGTATAAGCCTTTTGTATAATTGGATATGTATGTCTTTAATTCGGTAGCCCATTGTTCAAAATGGTCATTGTAAATTTTCAACGCGTATACAATAACATTAGCAGCTACTTACTGGTACTGTTAGCGCGTGACAATCGAGAATATTCATATGACGTAATTAACATTGTCGCATGTGAAACTACGTAGGTAGTAATAGTTGAAACTTTGCTTCGATAGGGGAAGCTAGCGAAATTAATTTACTGAGTTCTCTGTAACGAGAAATGGTTTTCTTACCTTTCGCATTTTCGTGAGCAGGAGTAGTTGCTGATTGTGGTTTAATATCAGACTCCATATTAAACACCCAGAAAAACACAAGAATGTTAGGAAATAAGATTGAGTTCTTGTTAGCAATTTTTTTTACAAATTGTTATTTTCTAAATAAAACTATTTTTTCGTTGAGTGAGTCAGCCGGACCATGGAACATGTAAAGGGCCCAAAATGTTCGTATGTTTGAAAAAACAAATATGCGCGATTTGGATCGGAAACAATACTTTAATTTTGTAAATTATGCTTTTTCAAAATACAGTGTCTTTATTACTATAGAGGAACTGATAAAGATGTGGGTGTACACTAGAAGACCTTGAGAAATTCACCGATTCTTGAATTGATATCATAATAATAATAATAATATTTATTAATTTTTTCCACTCACAAAAGCGGTTTAAGAGCTAAATACAATTTTGTGATATTGACTACCTAATTAAGTGAGTGGCGCCCGTGGTAGATTTGAAAAGCAAAAGAAAAAACTGCTTTTGCTATTGTGTTTCGCTCAATTTTACAATTAAGTTTAATGAATGTCAAGATGTTCCACCACCATGATATTCAATTATGTTTTTGTGAAGTTACTCCACTAGTTTCTTATAATTATTAATACGAAGATCGAACACTAAGAAAAAATTTCTTCGATCCGGCTGGATTTGAACCAGCAGCGTCTTCTAGTAAACCGTACCAGACGCTATGCCACTATGCGATAAATAAATGAATAAATAAATAAATAAGCCAGGAAACTAAACAGCGGACCTTATAAATTTTTGTATGTGCTTGTTGCAGATCTTTGTTTTTGGTTTTTTAACGACTTTTTTGCCGTAGCGCCATCTGTGAGAAATCTATTTCTTCACTCAGCTTTTTACTTTACTTTCTGAATATTTTTATAATTCGTCGGCGTTTTGTAGAAAAGGCGAAAGCGCCATTTCCAGCGAATTTTTTCAGAGGAGCATGTTTAAGGATTTGATGACTGTTTTAAAATTCAATTTTGGTTTTAATTATGTTTCAGTTTTAAAATTGAATTTAAACAGGACGTAAATATTTTAAAACAGTCGTAAAAAACTAAAACATGTTCCCTTACTTTTTTTTGCAATTGACCTTTCGCCCTTTCTACAGAACTATCGACTGTATAATACCTACGTGGAGTACAAGACAACTTCACCCATTGCCTAGTCTCAAACTAGGGTATTCCTTGTATTAGAAGTATTAGAGCTACGTCTATATTTTATATAATATATAGTATAAATAAATAACACACATACTCATAGCCCCGCACTAGAGAAACCCTGTGTCGTGGGTACACAACCATAAATTACACCCAAACTCACTAGAAAAATAAATGTAGGTGATACAAATGTTTCTCCCGGCCCTGGAATAAAATAATATGGAATAAATTCAACATTTATTTGATAATTATGTACCCTCAACATCCTACGGTTAATTAATCCTTTAAATTTCATATAGGTATATACGTACTAGTGTTGCCCAAAATCAGTCTTGGTCTTGGTCTTGCAAAAATGCGTGATCAAGATCAAGACCACCTAATTACAACAAGACGTAGACCGACCCTGCAAGATTTGGGCAAGAACAATACTGAGTCTGCGAGACTCTTGCAGTAAAAGTCAAGTAAATTTGAATTGAGTTCTTTACGCATTTTATGCCTAAAATTATAACTATTAAGATTGTCATAAAGCTACAAATTCAAGCACAGCCTTATTTACTAAAAAAAGCTTAATAAAGTATAGCAAACAGTGTTTGCAGCACAGTTTTACAAATTTTAATACTGTAGTTTGCAGTCAATATTATGCTCTATCTCTTTATGCGATTCAATGCCTATGTAGTTTGAAAGAGAAGCAATAGTTATTTTTATTTGCCGTCTGTCGGTGATATCTTATTTGGATGGTGCTATGCATATTTGTGTGAATCCACAGTATGACATTTCTAGATAGTGAGTGTGCTATACTAAGACCAAGACCAATACCAGGTATACCGACGCGAGACCAAAACCAAGACTGAGGTTAGTCTCGTCTTGCATTGGGCAACATTAGTACATATCTATTTTACTCTGCGCCTTTGTTATGGAAAAAGATAACAAGTAAATACATTCACCATTATCACTATTTCAACTACGAAAACTTCTCTGCTATCAACACCGTAACGTTTTCAGGGTATTTTACAATGTCTTTTTATAAATTTATTGTAATAAAAAAAACCAGGCCTGTATCAACATTTTATAGAAGAACATAACATTTTAACTAATACATACTTTACCTTTGATTTTTATATTGTTACAGACTTACAATCACACAATGGTCATAAGGTTCACATTACTAGTGGCACTATGCAGTGTTGCTTACGGCGATTACTACGGTCCATCTTCGAGTCCATCACAGGCTTTTTTCGGGGGACGATCTTCCCTAGACTTTACGTATCAGGTGCCTGATATTAATTTCGCCAGTGTAATCCCGGCGAGAAATCCTCCAGCCAGATTACCAGTCAACGGATTTGGGTGAGACATTAAACACAAGGACTTATCTCTGCTACACATGCATATAGTCAATTATATTGGATGTATGATGAAAAACAATATACAATTATCGCCTCTGGTTTGAAAGCTTCGCAAAATCTTATAATTTAACCGTTCCTTTATGTTTAATAATGATATCAGGATTATCAAGGTATTTTTCAGGTTAGTGTTCTCTACCTGATTTGGGTGGTAATTTTTATTATTTAAATATTTGAGTAAATTATCGTGAATTATTAAGTAATATTTCAGCTTATTACACTGGAATATTAAATAATACCTCAGTATAATATTTTTTTGCGGTCTTTGAGACCGCAAAACAAATGCGAGACTCAGATAGGAAAATAGAGTCGCAGATGTCACCAAACGCGTACGGTCCTTAAGTGGCGGTATGCGGGTCACGTTGCTCGAGAGCATGGCTCAGGAGCCATATACCAGGGTATAAAGCAGACCTTGGGGTGAAAACGCCCTAGAGAAAGATCGCAAGGAAGATATAAAGTGAGAGAAGTGGCAGAAACTGGCCCACACCGATATGGTTGAGAACGGGCAGAAAGTAGAAATATTAAATAATAAAAATTGCCAGCAAAGACAGAGAAAAGTAATCTAAAAATTACTCATCAGATTATTGATTGGATATAAAGGAACGATGAGAGATAATATAATAAAGTGTGATAATAATAATGGTAACCAAATGGTAAAAATTACTATGAAAATAAGGTTTGACATTAGTGTTTAATACAAGCAAGGCAAGTCTAATAGATGTGAACTTTGAGCAAATATTTGCTAAGGCAACAATTGTGAGAAAATTAGGTTATTACATGAACTAATAACCCCGAGAAAGGAAAGAAAACTATGACTCTTTTGTTAGTTGCTTGGAACATATGTGTTGTTAATCAAGTAACGTTTCTAGGCTTGCTTGCTCTCAGAATATAATAAAGTTGTGCATCTTCGTTATGATTTTTAAGTATATTGCATATAATAAAGAAAATGCAAATAATGTTTTTACTCAATCATAGATAATTTATTTTACCATACACATGAATATCAACTTTACAAATGACATGATATATTTACTTCCTGATGGAAAATTTAATACACTGCGTAGAACCCAGTAAATGCCAGCAATTAACTAACTATGCACAGACAGATTAATCTTTGCAAAGTAACTAACGATTTTGGCTGAACAGAATCTCCTTAAGGTTTAGGAGAGCATCTTAAGCGCTTCATAATTTTGGTGTTTGTTTTTGAAGATCTTTCATTAAGTTCCACTACACTCATCTTTGGGAATTGGAACCCTTTTTACATATGTTGATTGTATAGTTCTGTAGGCAAGAGGAATAAACTTTAATTTCATATTTTCGAATTTAGATGTTTTAACAAACATTGTTTTTGAAAGACCCTAAATTCTATCGCAACTAGTTTTTTATTTAACATACTTTACTTGATATAAAGATTGATTTTAAATGCATAATTAAGAGCGTCATTCTTTTTAAAAAGCTCTGTAGTAAAAATTACTGTTTGGCGCTTATGATTATTTACCTCTCATCTACAGAGTTAATGTTGCAAAGTAATCAGCATGTATAGTAATGCACAAAAGTTGAATAGTAAGTCCCAAATTAACTCTCATTAGAATCCCGTTTGCACTGAATGTAGCCTTATTAAGGATTCCATGACATTGCGAACAAAGTTATGACATACTCAGTGTGCGACGTAATCCAATATTGGTTTCAAATTTGTATGTCAGCAGTCCTACGCGGTTTTAGTTATGTAAATTAGTAATACCCTTGTAAACAGATTAATTGTATCAAAAACTGTAATTCGTGTTACACGCGTATTGCCGAATTTGTGAATGATATTAAAAATATTTGCTAAACGAGATTGAAACTTTTTCGAGACATACATTTTGTTCGCAATTTTCTTACCTATACTGAGGTTTTTAATATGTGGAGTTTCACATAAGTAAATAAGAGGCTGTATTGTCCTTAAGGTGCATACTAGATGCACCGATACCTATATGTTTGATCTACTCATACCGGCGGTATTTAGCGGAACAAAGACTAAGAGAGAATATAAAAAGTAACGATTACATTTAAATGTGTAAATTAGAACATAAAATAACAATTAAAAAGATCTTGCTTAATCTTTATTGAAAAATCTAATTTAGAACGAAATGCATTTAGTTTATTTAATGCGTTTAGGTTTTGTGACAGGACGAAAACGGTTCAAAATTTAAAAATTGCAAGTTTCACATTACGAATGGATAAATGAATGAAATATTTTTTATTGTATGTATATTAAAAAATTACAATGACAACACAGAACAATACTTAATGTTCTTGTATCTATTGCTATATTAATTATAAACCGTAATTAAATGTAAGTTGAATAAATAAAAAAAGTTTTTAAATTGACAGGAACGCAAAATCAACTTCGAAGTGGAGGTGAACAAATATGTATTAGTGGGAAATTATTATTTTTTTAAATGATGGCTATTTTTTGTATTCGAATTAGGCTTAAAATGAAAAAGTAAAATAATCAATCGGCTTTTGAAAAATTTATTGCCATATTTAGGGTTTTAACTAATGCTATTAATGATCCGCTAAATGTGCCGGAAAGTGTACACGAAAGAAAATTTGTAATAAATAGTCTATTTACTCGTCTCATTTCATCTCCAGTATAAAAGACCTCAGTTTAATCAATGTAAAGCACCGTATAACTTTATGTGTACCCATGTAATTTGTATGTAGTTAATGTACAGAGTCACAGTGCTAATGTTACCCCTTTGCAGTAGTTATAGTTGTAGCATGCTAATCCTGCACCGGTTCTGTCCCCAGCAGCAACACAGCGGCGTCACAACCTCAAGCCAGCGTCTCAGGCTACAGGTGGTTTGCTCCTCTAATTTAATAATTTCCAATATGTATCAAAGCTGAAAAATTACTCAGAGATCCCCAGGAAATGAGAATAAATTTTTCTAAGCACTTTGTTAATTTTTACTAAATTGCGTTATTATTTTTTTTAACGTACACACTCATTTGATTATAAAGCGCACCAATTTCCGTTACATTTTTTTATAAAATATTTATAGAATGCTAAGAAAAATTTATTCATATTCTCTGATGATACCTACCCATGCACGTTTACAAACGGATGTACCATACATCCGTCTGTAAAGTACCTACAAATCAGTAATAAATCTTGTGAGATTAGCGGATTGTTTGAAGGTGTTTAGATATCACTTCAAATTAATTAAACATTAAGTTTTATTTGCTTGTGAGCTACTTTCACGTGTCCTAAAATCTGAAATCACTTATTAATTTGCATAAAAGTACTTTCGAACAAGATATAAGGTATTAAGTACTATGTTGTCTGAACTTTTGGGCTAATAAATATAAAAGAATTGCCTTTGTTGAGAGAATATCGTTTGTAATATCGTGGCCCCTAGCCGTTGCTTCACGATAATTTTATCCATTGTAGCGTTTGTTATGCCGTTTTACTATAATATGAACAGCTGCGAGCGCTGTAATGGGTAAGATTTCGTATAGGCAGGCTACAATTTTCTTGATATGATTCATAATATATTAGTCGATATTTACACGCAGTAGCGCCTATATACTTTCTAAGAAGATACAGTTTAAAAAAAATCTTATTTGTGCCCAAGATTACGCAGACAGACATAAAAACGTCGAGAAATGACTTAGCGTTAAATGTACATAGTTTGAAGTTGTGTAATCCTTTCCATCGAGGCGTAAAATAATTCCTTCAGAGTAATTTGAACCGGTAGCAAAATACCTTGCACCAAAATGTAGACTTTAGAACCCACTGCACAGTTTAATAGTCGGTACCTAGCTACCCACGGTTTTCACTTAATTGCTTTACAACCGAAGGGATTTGGTTACATCCTTGATAATGTGTTTGGTCGAGTATAATATATTCGCGTACCATATACATATATTTCAGAAAGGGGTTTCCACATTGAAAATTGGTCCTATGTTTATGGTTGGAATAATTACCAATTAAGTTAACACCCCGTATAAGTGCAATCTAACTTTAGTATGCTGATAGTATTTAAGTGGATAGAGCGTTCTTATTTATGTATAACAAATACGAATTTGTTTCTTTTAATTAACTTCGTCAGTGACCACATATACAGTGCCTCTAAAGCAAGCTAAACATCCACAACCCAAACTACATATTGTTCGCAGACTACACTGCATTATTACTTAACAAAATATTTGACTCAAATTAATACCATGGTATAATAAGTTATGTATGGTAACTCCATACAAACGTAGCAGCGCGACTTGTATGTGTGCACGCCCGCCTCATGGCGGGTAAGGACGCACACATTTGCATAATGGTCGATGATTAATACATGACTTTACGTTATCATATTTTAAGATGCATGACTGATTTTTTTTGTTTAATTCATAACATTGTAATATGTATGTCTTATACATACATTGTAAGTATGTTCAACCGTCTTTTAATTTTTTTATTTTCTTTATAAAAGTAATGAATTATATCGCATGTTTTCACAGTTTCAGCAATCCGCCTCCCCCATTAGGGACTGACACGGATCCGGGAGCACAAACGTGTGGCTTGGCTCCTCCATTCTGTCCTAAGTCCCGCTATCGGACCATTGATGGTTCCTGCAATAACCTGATCAGACCAAAATGGGGTCTGCCCCAGACTCCTTACGGGCGATTGGTTCGCTACAATTATGCCGATGGTAAATATATAATTTATGAAATGTACATACCAAATGCGATTTCTCTGTTTCTGGAGTATTCTCTGCCTATACTAAGTACCTATTGTATACTTTGAAAACATTGTAACATAGTCTCAGTACAGAGTACTAAAAAAACCGACCTCAAAAGTACGTGGAATTACGTGTATTTGCTAAGTTTTATTGAAATATCCCCTAGTTCGCCACTATACAGGACTTGACACTGGAGATAATAATAATCGGTTCTCACTACTCAAAGTATAGAGAGAAAAACGCCTTGAATTGGAGAAATAGCAAAATCAATCATTAAAATAATTGCATCTAAATTAAAGTCAGCCGCTATTTATAAAAATGAGTCTTCATGCGCGAACAGCCACCCTTAAAGGTGGATGATTTTCTTCAAAATGAAATAGGACCACTATGGAAGTATTCCTTTCCAACGAAAAAAATCATGAAAATCGGTTCACAAATACCGGAGTTATCGCGTAACATATATTAAAAAAAAAAAGAACATACAGTCGAATTGAGAACCTCCTCCTTTTTTGAAGTCGGTTAAAAAATAATGTCTGTTTTCCGGTGGAAACAAAAGACTATAAAAAAGTCTTCTTATGTAACATTACGTTTACTTCGCATCAATCAAAATATTTATCTATATGTATATTCGTGAGACATTTGTCTGTTCTCAGTGACAATAAATCGAGGTAGAATATAAATATTATGTCCTAAGGGAGTAATTTGTTGTACTTGCTCAATAATTTCAATCAATCTTCTCCACTCGTTCCACTTATACGCCATTGAAATGGACGTATATCTTTTGTATTACAACAATTCGAAATTCCATCAAAAACAAAACACGCCAGATCCTTTTTTATTGATCTTCAAATGCATTTGAAGGTTGGGAGACATTTAGCTCGGAAAAAGATGGCACGCAAAACGGTTTATAGAAAGGTTTTGCTCAGTTAACCATGTAAATTTGCTTCTTTTGTTCGTCGGCACAGCATTTTATCACATTGCTTTTCACCAAGTGCAAACTGCCTTAAAATTATCTAAGACAAAATAAGCTCATGTTGTTTTGAATAGTGTTTATTAGCAAAACTGAAGAGGTCATTTGTAAACTATGTTAGTCGTATGTACAGTAGTTCTCCAATTAGATGCTTACGTTACTTTGTGGGAAACATTGTGTGTAATATACAATGAGATTATAAGCTATATCAATTTTAAATAAAAAACCTAATTTCAGGCGTATATGCATGGCCGCGGTCAACCTCAGGTCGTCCCCTGCCGAACCCTCGCGCGATCAGCTTGCGGTTGTTCCCGGACAAGCAACTGGTCGATCCCATTTGGAATTTAAATGCCCAACAGTGGGGTCAGATTATTACCCACGACATGTCTCTTACGGCGGGAGTTGCTCAATCTCGTAAGTAGTACTGTAAACTTATATTTATTAATTAAATTACTACTAGACAAGACAGGCGCAGTGGCAGTGCCCCTAAGATCTTTACGATTTAAAACTCTCAGTGGCACTGCAACTGTTATGGACAGGCGTGTAGCTTACCATCGGGAGCTCGACTTGTTCGACCCGTCACTTGATATTATAAAAAAAAAATCTCACATTGAAACTCACTAAACTACATTTGAATATCGTCGGTAAGCCGGGAGTCTCCATTTTGGTAATTTAGTCGCCGAATCAAATTGGCGTAAATGTCGTGGTAACCAAATTAGCATGATTTACGGGAATCTATTGTTATCAGTCCGTAGACAACATAAATTAATGCTTACTGTGCAAAAATGAAAGCCGTAGCCATTGAAATAACAAAGTTATATCCCTCTCCTGTGAAATTTGGTTTGGAGCAAATACGCACCTTTTACCAATACTACATACGCGGATTTGCACTATCCCCGATGGTATAATAGATTCGCAATTTACTTACCTCGGACATACTTACGTCTTCTCTTGGTGCTATTACTGTTCTGTGTAATCGAATGGCCAAATTCGTTTTTCAAAGCTTCTTAGTTCGCACTCTTCCACTAGTCTTTTAAAAGTAAGGCGGGGAAATACAGCATATTATTGGTGCGGTTAACGCGTCAAATGCATTAGATTGCCAATGAATTTACAGAGAAGCAATCATTATTTTTTATAGTTGCTAACACTAAGCTTTAAGTAAGTATAGACTTACATGAATAGAACTCTAGGAATATAATTTTCAGTATTGTATCTCAGGTTGATTTTATTTCAGCTTTAAAGAACAATAGAAACAGGGCAAGTAAGTGAAAATGCTAATTGAATGGTCGGGTTAAATTGGTGCAGAGACGCGATACACTGATTTACTCCGGCAATGCACTGATTTATGAATAACAATGCAATATTATTATACCTACACCTTATTTGTATGAACTTTTAAGTGCTTCCGTAGCCGAACGGTTACCATGTTGGACTGCCATGCAGAGGTGCCAGGTTCGATTCCCGAGCCGGAGAAATATTTGTATGACCTACATTAATTTTTCTCGTGAGTTTGGATGTAATTTGTGGTTGTCAATGTGTGTGTCCTTGGCACCTGCGGGGATTCCCTAGTGCGGGGCTATGTTGAGTGTGTGCGTTGCTGTTGTTATGAACTATGTACGTGTACATATCTTAAAACGGAAGAAAACAAATGAGATATACGAAACACTTTATAAATTGCAATGTAATATAGATCTTACGTCGTACAAAACAAAGTTTCTATTTGTTTAGATGGAAAACCGAGATAAGCCGGTCTAAAGGCGTGACGTAGTAAGGTTACGTGTTGTATAGTGAGTAGAACTTTGCAGAGTTGAACCGCGCCACTGGCAATACGATATATCACTTTTGATTCTTTGAAAGTTACAAATAAAATTACCGACCGCAAGGCATTGCGCGCATTTTACACCTAGCAATTCAACGTGTACCGCTCATGGAAGAATGCCATAAGTGGAGTTATATCAAACATGTTTATTGCTCCATTACGTACAGAAAAACATAATCCACATCTTTTCAAATTCTTGTAACTCTATCGACTAATATTGTAGACAGATTTACGAGAATTGGAGAGGATGTGGGTTATATTTTTCTTACGACGTAAGAAGACTTAAGACGTAACTCCACTTATGTCATACTTACATGAGGGGTGCGATTTTAAAAACGAAATAAAAACGAAACGATAGCCCTTTTATGTGGTCTGTGCGTTAGCCCACCAACTAACGCACAGATAAATACTTTAAATTTCGAGGCACGCCTTCCGGGGAATGTGCGGGGTGCGGGAGGATCGGCTACTTCTTCAAAAAATAGTATAATTCTAATCTACTTATCTACTTCTCCACTAAATCGATAATTACTTGACAGTTTGTACGTTATGAAGTGATTGTTTACACGCATAAATTAAGTTGATTATTTCTCCACTTAATACGTGTAAACCTGCCATAAACTTGTAGCTTTTAGTTAGATCAGGCTCGCTTTATTTGTTACATGCAAATAAATATTTAAGTACGTACAAAAATAAACTGTTTTGTTATTTTTTCTTTTAAAATGAAACCATATTTTGTAGGCTCTATGGTGTTTATTGCATTGCTGTTTTATTATTTTTTTTGAGAGAGTAAGGCAAATATTAAATTATTTTTATTTATTATCTATTAATGTTATTAGAAATTAATTTTTGCAGACTTCAATTACTCGTATATTTCACCTATGTTGTCAAATTCTATAGGCTATAATTATATAAGGCATTCTCGTAGGTTTTCATCATTACTTCTCAATTTTCAGCAAAAAATTACAGTAAAAGTATATGTATTCCATGAGTGAGTAATAATAATAATAATAATAATAAATTTATTCATAGAACTTAAACGTTACATAGTATAAAAAGTGCATAATATAAGGTACAGCCATTATCAGAACATATGAATGCTTGTACTTAAAAAAAGAATACTTGTGCTTTAAGTACCAGCAACCCTTCAGTGTCCCAGAGATATGATTCACATTATTTTATACGGACAAGTTATTATACAGGTAAAATAAAATTCAACCCTCGATTGTAACATAAATGAAAAACAATATTAATTTGTAACAAGAGAGTAGAGTGAGAAGTGCACGAATGTGTCGATAGGTATCCATGGGATAGGGATTTTAATGTGCAAGTGTGTGTGCGTGTGTGTGTTCGCGCGTGCATACGTGCATGCGTGTGTTTTTATAAATACATTATTTTATTTGACTGTATATAGAAGATTTTCTGTTTCTTCATATAGGAGTTTCATGAGCCACTTAGAAACCGTCTTTTTACACTCGTATTTGTTTTTTGTTTTTTCACTAGTATTATTGTACTTTCGAATAAATAAAATTTGATTTTATATTTAGATTTTAGATTGACAAAATATACAATACTTGTATAGGGAAGTACAATAGGAGATGTTTAATTTAGATTCTGTTGTCAAATTTCTTATCGTATCGATGGCAATCACTGTAATGCTTGCTATCGCGGAGAAAGGATTTGCCAATCGACGTAACTTCCTCGCCGATTGTTGCCTAGGGTACGCCAGACGTACAGAAACGTAGATACGTCGTGCTTAGAGGCTCCTTTTATGCCCCCAATATGACTATTGTTAGTGAATAATTCTTAAATAGAAAACCACCGTGAGACTCAGACATATTAACTAAAAATAACGGATAACTCATGTATTTAAGTAGAATTTTTGCTCGACATGTTTCGAACCAATTCGTGGTCTTTAATCATGAGATTCCGCGGCGGTGATTCGTTGGAAACTGCGCGCCAAAGCCCTGGCAGCCCGATTACTCAGTACGGCAGCGGGCGCAGGCGGCGTCGGCGAGAATCTACCCTCGCTTGCTTCATTTTTATTAAAGTACACTAACGACGTCACTTTCTAAAGTCTGGTCTACTCTAACCACTGACGTAGTACCTAACACTGTTTTCCAGCCGGGGGCTACCGACCATCCACTATCACGATTGAAATTCGAATGATGACCAATCTCGATAGCTTCACGTACTTTTCGCGGAATTAAATGCTTTTCTCTCGCCAGTACGGACACTTTATCAAAACGAATATAGTGCGTCGAATCCGAATCCAATGAGTGTTCCGTCCCTGTAGAGCCTTGATTGTCCCGGTTCTTAATACTACGTATGTGTTCCGTTAGTCTTGTGGATATGTTACGGCCGGTCTCTCCTATGTAACTCTTGCCACAGGAGCACGGAATCTTATTGTATACACCGGAAACATTCAATGGCTCCTTATTCTTCGGTGAACGCACCAACTGTCTAAGTTGCATGTGAGGGCGGAAAATCGTATTGATGTTATATCTATATATATATGACTTTAATAAAAATGAAGCAAACGAGGGTAGATTCTCGCCGACGCCGCCTGCGCTCGCTGCCGTACTGAGTGATCGGGCTGTCAGGGCTTTGGCGCGCAGTTTCCGTCGAGTCACCGCCGCGGAATCTCTTGATTAAGGACCACGAATTGGTTCGAAAGATGTCGAGCAAAAATTCGACTTAAATACGTGAGTTATCCGTTATTTTTAGTTAATACGAATAATTGTTGATTCGCGGTCCGAAATTCTTTTCGTTGACGTCTCTTTGAATCTATTTTTGGCAACAAAATGACAACTCCTACATTTCAATATCGTTGTAATGATCGTCCATGAGCAGGAAGAAAAAGATTGCGGTTTGTCACATATTCTGGAGACCTATAGTCTGTCTTTTTTGAAGATAGAGTAAAATGACAGTTCATTGAGCAAAAGTGTTGCCCGTTTGCGAGCAGCTAGTGATTGCAGTCGATATATTCTATCGACTTGAGTATTGATCACGCTAATGGAATAAATATCCGAACTTTCTTCATTTGAATCATCCTAGACGCATTATTCATCCAATTACTGAGCACAAGTTTATTTGAATTGTCAATTTGTGTAAGTTCATACATACACTGTATTTAGAACTGTTTATTAAAAATAATTCAAAGAGGAGACATATTTTAAAGTTTTTAATTTTAATTCAATGTAGATAATCAAGTCCGGCTATTTTTGTTAAAATGTATATGAATAAAGATTGACTCTATATTGTAGGCCAACTGTCAAAATAAGAATGAAGAAGGCAATAACGAAATTACTAATCATTAGAATGTCGTAACATTCACGATTCAGTCATATTTGGCAAACTTTTATCTTCTTTCACAATCTATCGATAAAAGTATCGACAACAACTAAGTAACCATTTAAAATTTTATGAAAACTGGTTACCCTACAAATGTTATTTTACTCCATCTTCAAAAAAAGGCAGACTATATTTACCAAGGAAGCATATTTTAAACAGTGGATATCTTTTAGTCGATGAATGTTAATGTACATGATAAGACATACATACTCGTATATACGGAAAATAATTATGACGTGAAGATATAACTATGAGTGACGATTAGCTTACATTAAAATAAATAATTTACTTTCAGCTGCAGGACATGGAAATGAGGGAAAAAGTAAGCCGCCGAAATTGAAATTCGTCTGATATTTCTTTGTCTTCTTCCTTTTTTGCCAGCTTTTAACATTTACATACGCTTTGGTCCTCATTATTGATGAATTGTTTCATTTACTCCATTTACTCAGTTTATAATTTCACAATTAATTACACATTATATTAGATGTGTGCACTGAAACCATGCTTATTTTGTTTTTCGTCATATTTTCGATGTAGATATGTTTGTGTTACTGTTCTTTCTTATATTTACGATTATAAAAACTTCACTTCAATAATTATTTTTGCTAAATATTTACTGAATTATTAATGAAGCAGAAGCAGGTTTTTCTATTGCCTACTCTCAATTTTAATTCTATTGAATTTTAACGTAATTAAATCACATAAGCTAACACACTATTCTTTACCACTTGTAAGAGTAATTATGCAGACGACGATGTGAACTGAAAAACTCTACCAATAGCATACATAATATTTATTTTGAAATGAATGCTGTTTTTAGAAAACGTATGAATTCTGTTTCACTAAACTTACAAAACCACTACGCTTCGTGTGTTTTGTTTATTCTTCGTGTGATTGTCGTACACTGAACAATTTTAATAGCTACTTAGTTAAAAAAATAAACTTTTTTTTGCGTACAGATGCGGACATGATCACATGTTGTGACGCCAATGGGCGGCTCACACCTGACTCCAGCATAAATCCTCAATGCGCGCCTATTATCGTTCCTCGTGATGACCCCATACACGCGCCACAGGGCACTCAGTGTATGAACTTTGTAAGGACTACTACCACTAGGGACAGAAGATGTACCCCTCCAGGCGCTCCTGCTGAACCGGTGAGATTTTCACTTTATTTTTAGCCGACAGTGGAGAAAACAAACTGGGTCATATTTTTAACCGACTTCCAAAAAGGAGGAGGTTTCAATTCGACTGTATTTTTTTGTATGTATGTTATGCGATTACTCTGGCATTTGTGAACCGATTTCGATGATTCTTTTCTTGTTGGAAAAAGGATTGGTCAAATTTAAATTGAAAGAAAATATTCCACTTCTAAGGGTAGCAAACTGCGGGATTAATACGGTTTAGCGCACTTTGCGGTAACGGGTTTCAATAAAACTTGGCAAATAGATGTCACTCCACGAACTTTTGAGGTCGGTTTTATTTTTTATAAATTTGTTATGAACCTGTAAATTAGATATTTTGTGTCCACAAATGCGTGTTTACCATTTATTGCAATTAATTTAGAACTTGCTATTCCTTGTGAAAGAGTTCATCCAGCCGGGTCCTATTTCTGCAGCCAAGCAGTAATGGCAGCATTACTGTGTTCTGGTTTTGAAGCGTAAGGGTGCTGGTGAAATTACAGGCACATGGGACTTGTCAACTTATGCCTCAGGGTGACGGGTGCAGTGCTAGTGCCACTCAGATCTTTACGATTTAAAGCTCTGAGTGGCACTGTAACTATTATATACAGGCATGTAGCTTACCATCAGCCGCACGACTTGTTCGTATCGTCACTTGATATAATAAAAAAAAAAACCATGGGATCTGTAAAGGGCCCGTAACGTTGGTTTGTTTGAAAAAACAAACATCCGCGATTTAGGTGCGAAAAAACATTATATGTGTAACAATCGCGAAAACCCAAGAACTCGATATGTACACCAGTACAGACTAAACGTTGCAAATTCAGGACTTTGAAGCTATTGTATAATATTCAACCTCACACACTTTATGAGTGGGTGTAATGGAAATTTCACAAAGTTTTTTTCATTAGTAGTAATGTTTTTCTTATATTAGCTATGAAGCCGGATTCACATTTGTGTGACGTGTCGTGTCGTGTCGCGTCAGAATGATATCGGTTTCATATATATTTAATATTATGGTTTGATTTATATTAGTGTGTCGCAATCTGACGCGACGGGTTGTGTTGTGTGCATGAAACCGAGTTGACGCGTCACGACACGACACATCAGACTAATATAAATCCAGCTTAAAGCAACCAAAAAATTAGCAAAACTACCTTTAAAATAGAATTATTCACATTGTCATGGTCTTTAAACTTTAACTAATAAGTCAGTATCGCTAGTAAACAATGTACTATAATTTTGAATACCTTGCACAAGGTTAGATAAGTCATTAATGGGAACTAAATTGAAAATGAACCTAGAATTGAACCTTGATAATGATTGCCTACCGTCCCCTTGAACTCTATAACTCAAATTTGATTTAAGAAGGTCGAGTATCATGGTGCAATCAAATACTTTGAAAGGTCGATGTGTATACCCATAGCATCGAGTATATAACCAGAAATAGAGACGAAATAAGGCCCATATATTTTTGGTAACACATTAGCGATACAGCTCTTGTAAATATCAACTCTCGTTTGCACTGAAATATAGACAGGCCAACTACTGGCCTGTGGGTACGTGTCCGTACGTTCCAAAAAATATTCTGTAATAATTTTAATAAAGATAATATCTCTAACAATGCCGTGCTTTTCTATTCGGTGGTATGGGAAAAACAGCAAAACATCTAATTATAAAACAAACGGAATCACATTTCATCGGTAATTAAATATTAAATATGTAATTTTACAATTTTCGTCCATTATAGCAAAGCCCAAGTTAACTGGTGGATTTGAAGTGAAAGAGTTGACGACACTCATTGACGACACCCGTCAATTGTTTCGAACTCGGGCTAGCCAATCATCACAGTAATTATATGGTAGAATAGTTTTCAAACAAATAAAATGACATTTCGTCTCTATTTTTGGTTATACATATACTCGATGACCCATAGTATCACGAGTATTTTCTCATGCCTCAAATATTTGTTTCAACACAAGAATCGTTTGTTCAGTGACAATATAAAAACAACATAATATACGAGTAATATGCACTGTTATATAAAAATAAGTTATATAATTGTCATATCGAGCAACCCGACACTGTGAAACTTTAAAATAAATAGCATGAGATAAGTAGGATAACGAACAGAACCTGTACCTTACTATTACGTAATTTACCCAAAGTATGATAATGATTTCCGCCTTTCTACGTATGTTGATTATGTTAACCAATCTGCTTCTTTCATTAAAGTTGACAACTGTCACCGCGTATATGGATCTGTCCCTGGTATACGGCAGCAGCGCAGGCCAAGCAGCTCCGATCAGAGCTGGCAGTGGGGGCCGCCTATTGACGATCCTGCGAAATGGTCAGGAGTGGCCTCCTCAGGACCCTAATATCACTCTCACGTGCGAATCGGCACAATCTCTGAACGAACCTTGCTATCTGGCTGGTAAGTAAAGTTTTAACTAGTATGGTAATTGGACAAAATTTATTATAAAACAAAGAACAGATAGTCAATAGTCAAACAGACGTGGTTAGCTACTTATTATTCTAACCTTAATTATTGTAGATTGCATATCTATTCTGGTTTGTGTTCAACACTATAAATTAATCTTCCATTCAATAACGTTTGAATGAAATTCCCTTTCCAATTTGTAGATCGAGTTGACCTAAAATCCTTGAATTTTAAACACTTTTGTATTAAGACTTTGTTTTGCTCCCGAAGCGGACCGTACACGTTCCTGGAGATATACATATTTATGATTATTTACTCTCATCGAGAATCCATGTGCTACACTTTTGCGGCAGTAACATAGAATAACATATGTATGTAAATTAGGGATAACATTTTAGTACGAACGAACAGTTACGAAGTTCTAGAATGATAGTAAAGCCGTTTTTGTTCTAGAATAGGAAAAGGCATTTCTAGGAATAAATGACGATAAAAAGTTCACCAGAATAAAAAACTTGCGAGCATATGTGTGAAGGCCGAAGGCCTTTTTCAGTTTTTATTTGCGTTGACTGTAACTTTGCCGAGACTTTATTATGAAATGATTTCTGTAACAATTTGCATTTCCTTACGTATCATTTAAGCTATCGTAGTTGAGTTATAAAGGTTTTATTTCAACAATTTGCTTATTTGTAAATGTAACAGTTTTTTATGATGATCATATAAATTTTTAGGTGACATCCGTGTAAACCAGAACCCTCAGCTGACAGTGCTTCAAGTAGTGCTGTTGCGCGAGCATAACCGCATCGCAGACAATCTAGCAAAGATAAATCCGCACTGGTCTGATGAGATAATTTTCCAAGAGGCCCGCCGCATTCATATCGCCGAAATTCAACATATCAACTACTATGAATATCTACCTATTTTCCTAGGTAAGTTAATTTTTTTGTAGCAACAGAGCTCCTTGTGAAAGAAAGTGCCTTGTCCAGGTAAGTAGTGATCGTACTTATTTCTGCCGTCAAGCGATAATTTGAGCATTACTATGTTCGGGTTTTAAGGGTACAGGTGAAATTACAGGCACATGTGACTTGTCAATTTATTTATTTACTTACTTATTATGTCTCAGAGTGACGGGCACAGTGGCTATGTCTCTCAGATCTTTGTGATTTAAAGCTCAGTACAACTCAGTACTGTAACTGTAATGGACAGGTGTGCCACTTACCACCAGGCGCACGATTTGTCCGTTTCGTCACTTGGTATCATAAAAAACATGTTTATTGAAAGGTCCTTGGCTCAACTCACACTGGCGCAGAGTCGAAGCGTCTCATTGCGTCCTGTTTTTCAACTCCACCGCCAGGCGACGCGCGACGACACTCGCATTAGTGCGGCGGGATCACAGTTTGGTCGGCGTCTGACGCCTCACGGCGCCCAAGTGACGTCGAGTGTAATCGAGTGTAGAGAGTGAAGTCGAAGCCGCTCGAATGCTACCAAGCGTCGACGCGCGTCGCTGCTCGATTCCATATTTGCAAAATACATATTTGGACCGTAATAATTGGATTATATAGATGAATATGCTACAGGCGAAAAACATGATGCGTCGCGACGCTTCGACTCTGCGCCAGTGTGAGTTGAGCCAAAGTATTTAGTGTGTTTGCATGTTAGTTTGATCATTCGAAATCATTACGAGAGTCAATTATTTGTACTTGTACTATGTACAGGGGCTAAAATATTACTCTCTATGGTATAATTTTTGGTGTTAACTATTCCAGTCACGATTCTGGCCTCATTGCTACTCGTGTTTATTTAATAAAATGCCGGATAATGTATGTACATGTCATAATCACGCATGAGCAGATAATATAAGGTTTTACTTATGCTGCAGACCTAGACTTACTTATATGTTAATATTTCTGTTTGCCCTTTTGCGGTCACTACATTTATGTTTTACTTAAAAGCATTAGCTGTAATAAAATTAATTAATTTTGTTCCTTACTAATTTCAATAATTAAATTATACAAGTGGCAGACTGTCACTTTCAATGTCGGTCAAACTGCTCGCTTTTTAATAAATTGTTTAATAATACTCGACATTCGCAAATTGCAATGGCACGATTGTTTATTGTATATTTAATGCGTTATTGGTGTTCTGTCTGATATTAATAGTTTTTATTACAAATACCTGAATATCTGAATGGCTATATTCTTTCGCACAGACTTGTGTGTTCATGTAATATACGAGTATATATAGCTATACCAAAGAATGCGACTGAAATAATATGTGTACATTGTTACGTGCTTAAGTCTACTGACCCTAGATTTATATATACATCTATAAATACAAGTCTAGAGTCGCTAGACTTAAAGCACATAATACAAAAAATAAACAAACAAAGTTTGTTTGTGTTGTGAAATCGGAAACAACGACTGAAGATGGGAAAAACTGCTTATTTTTTTAAACGTCTAAACGTTACGATTTTTTAAAAAAAGCGTGCTTTTTTTAAACGTTTTTTCACTTAAATGCTTTTTAGTTTGAAGCTAACAAAATAAAAACAAAATCGTTTACAAAACGTTTAAGCGCATTGACTTTTATGTTAAAAAAGCTTGCAACGTTGTGTTGATAGCGAAATGCAAGAGTGGACCTTTAGTTTTAAGACAAGTAAGTTTTTTTTGTAAAAAACGAATTATATTTTTATTTATGACATAATATTTTTATATTAACATTTTGTTAATTGGCGTTTAAAACCGTTCAAAAACATAAGTTGTTTAACTTTTGTAGTTGTTAACCGTTGAAATGGAAAAAAACTGCTTATTTTTATAACGTTAAGCGCTTAAGTATAAGCGCTTAAGCTTAAGGAAAAGCGCTTAAGTATAAGCGCTTTTCACTTAAACTAAACGCTTATTAGTTTGACATTAAAAAGTCGTTTAGAAAAACGTTTAAGCGCAAAGACTTTATATTTAAAAAAGCTTGCAATGTTGCAACGTTATGTTGAATTAATTTGTTTAGGAAACATAGATGGCGCTACTTGAAATTTAGGCACGTTGTAAAAAATGAAATTGTTGAGTATCTATAGAACTGACCAGTGACCAACGCTTAAAATGAAAAGCTGCTTATGCGTTTATTTTAAAAAGCTTAAGTTTAAAATTAAAACTTTTTTAAGTGCTTTTCGTTTAAACGTCCACCTCTGACAACGACGCTATCACTAAAACCCAGACCTGAGCCGGTATAGAAAAGTTAGTAATATATTGACCCGGCCGGGGATCGAACCCGAAACCTCAGAGACACCATGATAGCAGTGTGCTAGCCACTCGACTTTGGAAGTCGTCTAATTAATGGCATAATATACGGAAAATGTGAAGCTAAAGTTGGAAAACACGTTACTAGAATTTTGATATCTATATTCTGCCGACTATAGACATAATATTTCTGTATGCACATAAAATAGTTTGTTACCCATCACCGCTAATAGTTTTTTTCACCATTGATTACATTCATCTGTTCAATGTTATGGAATAATTCTCTTAGTCTGTGTAACTGCAACAGAAGTTATAACTGGATACATATTCTACCTAAATTATCACATTCACACTACATTGATTCGAAAAATGCCTCCTCGCACTTTGAGTGATTTATAGATGCTATAGGAGAGCAGTCACATGCTTACGACAATTTATGGTCGCATCATTTTCATGCATGATGTATGTACGTATCTGCTCTTTCTTTGACTCAAATGCGATCATCACCGCCCATTTATAGAAATTTTCTCCAATTCTATGAGGACATCTAGAGCTTAGTGTATATAAAGGGTTTTTCAATAAGGGCGGGTAGATATTGAAATGGAATAAAACAAGCTGTGTGTGAGGTATTAACAAAATATTTTTTTTATTTGTAAGGCCCATGTATGCCATTAAGTATGGAATATGACACCATGCAAATGCCCGCCTCGGCTTCTTACGGTGGCACGAATCCGAGTGGTCAAATTTTCAATGACTTCCGCATAGATCGGGCTGAATTTGAGCGATGGCCTGTGTTATGTTCACCTTTAGGGCATCGGTCGATTGCGGTTTATTTGCATAGACCTGCGACTTCAAGAAACCCCACAGGAAAAAGTCTAGCGGGGTCAAATCGCATGACCTTGGTGGCCAATTCACATCACCCCTGCGAGAGATAACCTTACCCTCAAATCGTTCCTGCAGAATGTCAATCGTGGCATCCGCTGTGTGGCACGTAGCGCCGTCCTGCTGGAACCACATGTCGTCTAGGTCCATATGGTTCAATTTGGGCCATAAGAAATTGGTTATCATCGTTCTGTAGCGCTCGCCGTTTACGGTGACCGCCTCACCAACGTCGTTTTCAAAAAAGTACGGACCAATGACGCCGCCGGCCCAAAATCCACACCAAACGGTAACTTTATGAGGATGCATTATCACCTGGTGAGCCTCGCGTGGGTTGGTGTCGTCCCATATATGGCAATTTTGCTTGTTAACACAGCCATTCATCCAAAAATGCGCCTCGTCACTAAAGATGATTTTTCGGCCCAAATTGGGGTCCTCTTCCAAACGATTCGAAACCCAGTCAGCGAACAAACGGCGTTGTCTATGGTCATGAACTTTGAGCTCCTGGGTAGTTGGATCTTGTATGGATGTAGACCCAAGTCCCGACGCAAAATTCGCCAAGTTGAGATCTGCGAAAGGCCGAGTTTTTGTGCACGGCGAGGAATCGACTGCATCGGGTTCTGTTTTACACTTTCACGGACCGCGCCGATGTTCTCGGCCGATATTGCGTTCCTTGAACGTACGGGTGTTGTAAAATGGGCGCAATGCGCGCAACGTTTGCATTAACGAACACTCATTTTGATAATAAAGTTTTAACATTTGAACGTGCTGTTCAATCGTGCAACTTGCCATGATGATTTGGCATAAGCAACTGAATAATAAACAAAAGATTTGACAGATATCACCAAAACAAAATGTCCGCCACGGGCCGCCAAAATCTACCCGCGCCAATTGAAAAACCCTTTATAAACAGTACTCGAAGCGATAATTAATATTGATAATTATCATAGTAATTATCAAGATAAATAAACCTTGATAACTATTTTGATATTTATAAAATTATTTATTAGAACAACAAGATGCTTCCGTGGCCGAACGGTTGTCATGCTGGTCTGCCATGCAGAGGTCCCGAGTTTGGTTCCCGGGCCGGTAGAAATATTTGTATAGTCTATATTTATTTATCTCGTTTGAGTGTAATTTGTGGTTGTCTATGTGTGTATCCATGGAACCCGCGATACAGGGTTTTCCTAGGCTTATAAAAAAAAAGATGCTTCTGTTAGCAATGTCGCGCCATGTATCAGAGACGTATCTAGATGCGTATCAACGAATACACTTGACTCGTCTTTCTTGTAAGAAGAAAGTAAGTCCTTATTCCACGATGTAAGCTCGTTTCCGGTTGAGACTTAACAGTTTTGAATCTTCCCCAACAAGTCTTACGTTATTCATTTTCCTATAATTTATTGTGAATAATTGCTCACATTATAGATAATTTACAATAGAACGCTGGACAGCCTTATGCAATGTTTTCCAAAGCACAACGTCATCCATAAATATAGTAAAACATAATCATAACGCCAAAATAAATTAATTGATTTTGTAAAAGGGTCGCCACATGACAGGTTCGCATAGTGTGAGACCAACTGTAACCATGCACAATACTTTTAGGCATGTCATCGCGTTAACAATATACACACATCAACACTGTCTACGGATATTTAGTTTTTTATGGATTGCAAAGAAATTACAAACAAGTTCTTGAAACGTTCTTATATCAAAATGCGCAGTATTTTATAATCTGACTGAAAATTTAATAAAACACCTTTTTATATTTATTTTTAATTGCTTTTATGGTAAAAATAGAAAAAGTTAACTTTGTACTAAAATAAGAACTTCTGTTTTTGGTTATTATAGAGAAAAACAAAATTAAATGAAACAATTAATGTGTTGCAAAATACAATTCAATAATCTGTAAAAGCACCTCGGATCTGTATAACGCATCTGCAACGATTGTGCATACTCAAAATGAGGTTATCAATATCTCCTTGTTGGAATAAGATCCTCCCAGGTTCGACGGAGATGCATAAAAACCTGATTTTCTGTCACCAGATTTTTGGGAAAATTTCGTAAAGCCCTTCGTTCAAGCATGTCCCACGCGTGCTCAATCGGATTTAAATCCGGGTACTGGTCGGGCCAGTCCAGTGTCTCAACATTATGTTGCTGCAGCCATTAAACTTAGGTATTGTTCGAGCTGTGTGAGGGCAAGCATTATCATGCATAAGCATAAAGGTCTGACCCGCCGATGTGGTTGGACTACAGGTTCCAGCACCTCTTTACGATATTTTGCGGCAGTTAAATTGCCCTGCACCCAAATGAGGTCAGTTATCCCTCCTGAATAATGCTTATACAAATATATATATAGAAATATGCCTATTCCTGCCCATACCATAATTGTTCCACCTTGATATGGTTGGACTTCCTGGGGATTTTGCAGGCGACTCGTACGGCCAGGCGATCGCCAAACGCTTATTCTTCGTGTATCTGGATAGAAGCCGAACCGGGATTGATCCGAGAATAACACCCTAGACCATAGTCGATTGTTCCAAGCCAAATGTTCATTTGCACACTGTAATTTTCGACCGCGATTGCGTCGTCGTAGTGCTGGAACCCGAAGTGGTCTACAAGCATGTAGGTTGACTTCGTGTTGTCTGCTCCTCACAGTTTGGTCGCTCACTATGATTTCACTCTGATTGAAGCTTTAAAACCAATTGCCTAGCCGTAACGTTAGGTTGTCTCCTTGCTGTAACTTGTAGAAATTGGTCGTGTCTTGCGGTAGTCACCCAACTATTCCCTGTGTACCGCTCAACCACGTCGCCAGTGTCTCGGTAGCGAGACCATAATCTTGACATGACGCTTTGACTGGTGCCAATGGCATCAGCAACGTTGCACTGGATCGCGCCGGCTTCTAGCATGCCTACGGCTCCCAATATCTCTTCTTTAGTTAAATGTCGGTGTTCCACAGTGTAGAAACAATAACCAGTAATAATGCAGTTAATAAAATTGCGAAATAAAAGTTAATTCCGTTTAAACACAATTTAATCTTTAAGACACACAGAGGAAAACAAACTATCGTACAAAGTTAACAAAATACTATCGCATCTGTCGTTCTTTTGTTTTAAATTTGAATTTAGAATACATAAAAAATTTGCCAGGAACAAATTGACGTTTAAATCTTTTTGATATGATCAGTACTTTTAGAGTTATTTTAATAAACGTGAAATATAGACAGAATTGAGCTCTGACTGAGTTGAGACTTCAAGACCCTAGACAGTGTTGATGTGTGTACTATATATACATATAAATGTTAAAACATATCGTTAATTTGACGTAAACATGTTGTTAGAAATATACTCATATTGTTGTTTGTATTTGTGATATCAAATAAACATAATATTATAGTTATTACTATAGTAAAATTCTATTGGTATTTTTCTTTGAACAATAATTACTCTACGTTGTATGTTTTCATTAACAGGGTTGGAAAACATGATAAAGAACAAGTTAATCTATCCGGAGGCTCACGGCTACATCAATGACTACAACCCCAACGTTGATCCTACTATCTTGGATGAGCATGCCACTGCAGCTTTTCGACATTTCCACACCTTGATCCGAGGATATTTACAGTAAGTTTTTACCAGTCATCGGAATTGAGGCAGCTAATTTACCTAAAGTATCACAATTTTCTTGTTATGAACATAACAATTTCGTCATCAATGCGTTTTTTTGTTCCTGTTTATTTTCTAAACATAACAGAATATAGGTTGCCTCATGTTTATTTTTTGAATGCCTGAAGAATTTAAATACGTAAGTATCTATAGGAACACAACTATAGGGTTTTTTAACAAGAACTTTGTCGAGTAAATCAAAATAAAACAAGAATTTTTTTTCACAAAAAAAAAAAAATTGATTCAAATTTTTATTGTATTAAAAAAGTAAGGTGATGATGATGATGTAATCTGTGACCGTGGTCATGGTGGACATTTATCAGATTATCATTTTTCACTCATAATTGCCAAACCTTACTTTTTTTAATGCAATAAAAATGTGAATCAATGTCATCTAAATTTATTGTTTTATTTTGATTCACAAAACAAACTTCTTGTTGAAAAACCCTTTACAATATTATTTTTTGAGACTATTATCCCATAACTTTGGAAAAAAAAAATAGTAAAAGTGAGGACTTACCTTGATGAGGATTATACGGTGTAAAACGCGATTATATATACCATTTTTTTTACATCAACTGTACTAAATAAGACACATAATAATATACTATACGATATACATTTTTCAAATGGCTTTAATTTCGTTAGTAAAAAAATAGATTCTGAATTAAAGCCAGTGCCTCTGCCGTTCGACTCAAACAAAATGAACCGTATTAGAACGGGAAAAATTTTACTTAGAGCTGAGGTAGGCTCTTATCAGTAAATAATAATTTGTCGCCAATGTACTCAAATTTAAATAAATAATATGCATATTCAAATACAATCAGTTCCGAGAAGTCGCGGGATTTGTAGAAGGGACTGTATAGCAAACTAGTGGAGTAATTTCACAAAAAATAATTGAATATCAATTTAATAAAGATTAAAAATACAGTGAATAGCGACATCTCTCGCCAGGACTGGTAACTGTAAAGATATCTAACTGGGTGATAAAAGTTTCATAGATTTATCATAGATGGCGCTACGACTAATGTCGTAAACCAAAACGTAAACTAATGTCGTAAAAAAAAAAAACCAAATACAAAGATACGACGCATGCACTTAGAAAAATTCGTGAGGTCCGCTGGTTCGTTCCGTGGCTTAGTTGATATAGCGTCTGCCACGGTTAGCTAGAAGACGTCGGTTCGAATCCGGCCGGATCGAAGGAATTTTTTCTGAGTGTTCGATCTTTGTATTCACAAATATAGCAAACTAGTGGAGTGATTTCACAAAAAAGAATTGAACATCAGTTCAATAAAAATTTAAAATAGATGGCATTTATTGCACAGATTTTTATGGATACTGCCGTCTATTGTTTTATTTCGTTTAGGATCAACGCCATCTACTACCCATGCTAACAAGCATTAATTTATAAATTAGTTTGTAACACAATGCCATCTATTGACACGTATGTTTGTCAAAATTCGGAAAACAATTTAAGCTCATGGTCAATAATTGAATAATATTACAAGGAAAAAAATGACTACTTATATTTCATATTAATGATGAATTAATCAATATCCATTGGCATTTACATAATCTAAATTACTTCCAGGCTATTGATCTGTGCCATCTAGATACAAAACGGAATTTTGACCTTCTTCAGAGTTACGATCTGCAGATAAGAAGACCTCTTGAGTTTATTAGTTTATTTAGTACTTAAAATTTGTTATCCAGGTTGATCACAGAAAAGCGTAACCTGGTGGGTGCAGTGCGTATCAGTGACTGGTTCAACAGACCTCTACTGTTAGAAATGGGTCAAGCTTTCGATGATCTGGCCCGAGGCCTCACTGTACAGCCGCAGGACTTCAGTGACCAGTACTGGGACAGCGAAATGACACAGTACCTCTTCAGGTCAGTATATTCTGACGACATGTTTTTTAAGCATAAATTATATTATAAATGTCGACTTATACTACAACTTAAGAAACAAACAAATTATCAGACAAATTACATTATAGAATTCTAAATAGCATTATTATTAAAATGATTTATATGAACCCTGCCACAATGAACAAGACACGAGAGTCTGTTTGCAATCACGGTCTTATAATCATATCCGGGGATAAAAATATCGATACGTAAGTACTTACTTCTTTCACAAAATTTATTTCAGTATAGTACGAGAATGTTGTGATGAATATCTCAATTCTTTCAAATTACATTTTGCAATTTGTAGGTACAACTGAAGTAATAACGTTGCGACTTTGAAGGCCTCCTTGGTCTAGTGGCTTGTACACCGGTTTTCATAGTGAGGGCTCGATCCCCGGTTGGGTCAATGTAGAAACTAACTTCTGTACATTATCTCGGGTCTGGGTGTTTGCGGTAACGTAACACAAGTGTTTTAGTTACTTACTTCGGTATTAGAGAAATAAATGTGATGTTGTTTAGTACTTATTTATTTATTATTTATTGTGACAACCCTATGCTCCGAGGCATGAGGCGAAATGGCCCGCCCTTTCCTACAAGTATTGTAACTCCTGAGTTACAATACTTGTTTTATTATTCCAACTTCATCGTTCCTCTTCGGTTGGCTAAAAAGTTCTTAACACTCCATCTTTATGTCGTTGATATACCACCCATTCGCAGAAGCACTTTGCTTCCTCCTTCCTAATGCGTAGACAAAGGAATGGACTACGCTACCGATATGATTATGTTTCCCGTTACGTGTAATTTAAGTATTTATTTAATTATTTTAAGAACTAATTTAATTTACGAAGATTAATTTAAGAAGTTCGGAGTGAGTTCGGCATTTTTTAGAGAAACGCTTGCTATCGTCGGTCATATCTATTATAATACCTACTCCTCGCTAGAGATTGTCTCTAGCGAGGAGTATTAGGCTCGAAAACACACAAAAATTATCTTAATAGAACTGATACTTTCCCTAGGTTAGGTAGGCTAGAACTGCTAGTACATACAGTGCTAGTACTAAATTTCGATGCGAAATCAGTAGGTAGGAAAGAATCGTCATGTTTCTCTTACAGGTATATTTGCAAATTTATTCAGTTAGGCGCTTCAACTCTTTGTAAAACGAAATAATGTGCTATATTATTTAATACATTATACTGGTAATATTTATACCATTAGTTCGTTATGTTATCTAATCATAATCATATCTAATTTGTTATACTGAAGGTTTATTATACACATTGAAATTATGCCTATTGTTGTTTACACCGTTTATTAATTATATTCAATGAGTGATTATATCCTTATAAATTATGTCGAATGTTGTTATGCCAAGTGAAAATAGATTATTTGTTGTTATATCTTTCATTATACACCATAGTTTTACGGTTAGCAAGCACACAATGAAGACGAGAGGCGGTTTTCATTCGCTTTACAGCGAGAAAGTCGTCTGTGGGCGTTGTTGCGAAAATTTCTGAATGGCTGCAGGTGCGTGGTAGCCTCATTAGCCACACTCTACACGTAAGATGTTGCAAGCACAGATTAAACAAACAATGAGGTTGCTTACAACCTTGTTTATTGTACTGATACCACAAAATACTCGAGTAAAATGATGTTATAATAAGCTTTAAAACGCGTTATTTTTACAAGTTCCGAGCATCCAGCGAGTCAGCGCATTACTCCTTACTGGCAACGCGGAGTCAGGAAAGTTCTCCAGATCTTCAATGCTGTTGGCCTTGGTTCCGAACTATAATTAGTGGTGATCACAATAGGGCTAAATATGCCCCGAATTAAGCCACCCTAATAATAATAATATTGTCAACGCGCTGCATTCTCTCTCCATATTGAGAGTTTTCGATCATCTGGGACCTTGTGATTTAGCAATACAGTACCAGCCAGCATAACCGAATTAAAAGACAAAAAATAAATAAAATACAAAAAATCAAAAGGAAGTATTGTTACTTACAAAAACTAGTATAATTAATCATTTACAAATTTACATACATATGTAGATAACATAGAACAATATGCAATACAATAATACCGGGATTTCAGTAGGAGTTATTCACTCTATATGTATCACTTTCTTGAAGTTTAAGTAAATATCCTGTTCCGATTTTGATCATAATAGACAAAAAAGGTATTATATGAATTTATGCGGTATTATATAAACAAAGATAGATATTCAGATACATCCATTTTTTTGTTTAAAGGATGTTGAAGTGACTCATATAAAGTACGCGTGTGGTTGTCTACCACAAATTACATCCAAACTCACGAGAGAAATAAATGTAGGCCATACAAATATTTCTCCCTGGGAATCGAACCTGGGACCTCAGAGTGGCGGTCTGTCATGGTTGCTCCTCCTTTTTTTTGAAGTCGGTTAATAATATAGCAATTATGGGAATTCCAGACAAAGTTCCATTTCCCTTATCTCTTTTTATCGTACCTAAAAGAAGTACTCTGTATTCAATGGGAATAATTGAGCTGTAAGATGATAGCTCTCCTGAAAATTCTTATTCAGTATTAGGTGTACCATTATAAAGTGAAATGGGACATGAATAGGATATGAAATATACGACGAGCTTTAAAGTTAGAGGCATTTCTTGAGAACCACTTGAGACACCATTGTCCTAGGTTTAGAGGGTTTAACAGAGATCGGTGGCAAATTTTAAATTATTGTCTCATTTGGTAATGAGTTTCAGATACCTATGCTCGTAATCCGTACACGTCGCAAGGTATGTTGATTGTGAATTTTTATTATTTCTGGGCTTCGAAAGATTTTTTGTTATGACACGAATAAGCTTTTAATAATGAATTAGGTAAATTTTCTAATCATGTTGGTACATAGAAAAATTTACTTTAGTTTTTACCTTGAGCTCTTCAAGTAACTGATACAAAAATTGCCGTAATGAAAAATACTATGATACTGTAGCTTTAAATTTACTTAAAAAGTAATACGGGTCTGTGTAATTTTCTAGTTAGTAGTAGTAGACAAGGAAATGGTCTTCAATAAAATGCTGCGAAAACATCCACGTGAATCCGTTGCAAATGGGAAATTAAAAAGGAAATTGGTGCTCGTTTGATACGAAAAACAATTTTAAGTTTCGGCATTTATATTTTGGGTAGGACAGATTTTAAATTTTCCGATACATAACTGGGTTGAATAATATGCATGTTAAGCAAATGTTCAGAAACCTTACATGAAATAAAATAAAACTTAATTGAACTTAAAAGTATTTTGTAGGGTGCTACGTGTAATAAATACAATGTTGCTGATTTTCAGAAATGCAGCATCCTATTAATCAAAATCTCCGTTGTTTGTTAACGCGAAACACAAGGCTTAAATAGCGATTCTTTTTCTCTATCATGTATCCAGTTCACTGACCAATACAACTTAATTCCAATGTACATTGAATTTTCCAAGACCATGCTTAATTTCGGTTCTAATTTGTAGACGCCTAAATTACTTCGGAAATTGAAATTGTTTTCGAGAAACTTTTAAAGTGAGCACAACGCGTTTGTTTAACATTTAGAAGTAGGTTAATGCCTGTCCCTACATCGTTTGTGTTCCGTAGAAAGTCAAAATTTATTGCGTTCGAAAAATCATTATGATTCCATTACAGACCACATAACATGGATTCCATATAAATAAATCTCAAACTAAGGCTCAACACACACTGGGGCAGAGTCGAAGTGTCGCGTCGCGTCCAGGGGGACTTTTTTTTTTTCCTGCCGCCGCAGGGGCAGCGGGACTTCTACCGGCTAAAACCCCACGGTGGCCTTCTCGGGTGCTCTAGTGGGAAGGATCCGGGATCGACTTTGCGCACCGGAACCCCCCCAGCACCTAGGAGGAGCTACGTCCTCCCCCTCCTCTCCTCATGACGAAGCGGGCCACACCGCCCCGTCGTCCTCCTCGCGGCTGCCTAACTTACTGGCGAACGAAGCCCCCGCTCCGATCGCCCGCAGCCGCGAACGTACGCCGCCGCCGAGCGGGATCGGCCCTCTCTCGATCACGCTCGGCGACCTCCTTCTGAAGCATCACCGCTTCACAGAAGGAGATCACTGCCTCATGTGACTCTTGATCCGCCAACATAGCCGCTACGATGCCTGGCGGAGAGAGATCTGGCCTGATCCGGGCAACCAGGATGTTCCGCTCGGAGGCCCATGCGGGGCACTCCTCCAGCCTGTGCTGGGCGGAATCCTGGTCCCTCCCACAGTGGTGACACTGCGTCGTCGACTCGCGTCCGATCCGATTCAGATACTCACCGAAGCATCCATGCCCGGTGAGTATCTGTGTCAGTCGGAACGTGATGACGCACTTCCGCTGGCTCAACCAGACTTTGAGGTTGGACAGGATCGCGCCGACGGCGCGCTGGCGCGAGATCCACGGCTGTTCCAGTCTCTCGCCCCACTTCTCGAACGCCTGTCGGCGCTCCTGCCACTGCACTTCCAAAAACAATCTTATTTCAATGAAAACTTAAAGTTAGCTTATTATAATAGAGCTCGTATTCGTATCATGATAAACCGGTCAACCAAGTAATGTATTATTGCAAAACTGATTGAAAGAACGAATGATTTCCCAATATTGTCTATTCCTTACTAAAAATAGGTAAAAGATAACGCTATGTGAGCTATATAATGCCATCACTTTCTTTTTTGGTGTTCCGAATCGTGTTATCGTAGTATAATGTTTAAGTATTTAATGTTATTTACATTCAGAGAATTTTGAATGTTAAAAAAGAAAAGTATGTAATAATAAATTTTATTAAAATTATGTTGTTTTCAATAATTATTCCGCATTTTCATGAAGAAAAATAAATAAAACAAGCTGAGTCTTGATAGTCACGTTATGAATTCGGAACTATAGTCTAGTGTCAACTGTTAGTCTCGCCAAGGAGCATATAGATGGCGCTGTTATATGATATAATATAAATACAATACAATACAATACATATAAATACGAAATAAACATCGCTTATTTTTATTTAACGAGAAATTATCCTATGTGCTATTAAATAAAAAATAAAGAAAATATTGAAGAGATATATGTAAATAAATAAGTTCAATTTAACGTTTAATCATTACAAGTCAATATCAAGACAATTAAACTGAAACAAAGACGAAAGATCATATCAAAGATCAATATCAAGACGAAAAAACTGGAAACTTGTTTCCATTACATCCGTGTAATCATTTTAAGATTGCTAAATTTGACATAAGAGCAATATTACTTTAATGTTAAAGTCGCGTCATAGTCGAAACTGAGTGAATGAATAGTCACAAATCATAGTTTTAACACTATAATAAGCTTACTTTAAGCGCGTTATGGTACGAAACGTCAATGTAAGGTTAAAGTTATATTGTTTTAAGAGGTTGTGGTAGGCCCCCTGTTTTTCAATTGCAACGAATGGCGACGCCCGATTCCATATTTGCATAACACAAAAAAAAAAACCTTAATAATGGGAAAATAGAGATAAATATGCTATAGGCGAAAAACATGACGCGTCGCAACGCTTCGACTCTGCGCCGGTGTGAGTTGAGTTTATCAGTTTTTGTTTTAAAATACTGTATTCAAATTGATTAACAAAGTATATTTCCGCTTGTCATTGTCGGCGCTGAATGAAAAGTTAAACTTGGTGAAGAGTGTTGTAACCGATAAAACGAAAGTGTCATTAATTGTGTTAATAAAACTTTTATTAAATTCTTCAGTTTTATAAAAATAATACTCCCTTTTGAATTTGTAATACTGTAATTTTTAAGGAGTTTGTTGACGGAAATTGTGCATTTGTGGCGTAGTCATATGGGGTGCATTATGTCAAACATTAGCACAGCGCTTTATTGTTTTGAATATTGTACCTAAGTGCTATTTTTGTTACCAGGCGCAACAACACGTTTGGTGGAGATTTGCGAGCTACGGACATTCAGCGTGGTCGCGACCATGGCCTTGGCTCATATGTGAATACGCGGGCTGCTTGTGGCCTTCCTGTACCGAAAAGCTTCCATGAAATGAGTGACTACATATCCGAAGAGGTATGTAAGAGATTTTATTTTTAGTTGAGATATTCATTTCGGCTCCGGAAAATAAAAACTGAATTTATGGCGAGGTCTTTCAACGCGAGGCTGATTGTAGGTGAGGTTAGGTTAGGTTAGGGATCGCCCCTCGCGTCCCGCATTCCACGCGCTGTAAATTAATATGAATAAAATAAGAACAGCCGGAAAAAATCCGACGTCGACAAGCATGCGATAGTGACTGACGGGACAGCGAGCGGTGCGGCGGCGTGTCGTTAAACCACTGGGGAATTTGCAAATTTTGGGATTAATGTTAATTTATTAACTAATTGGCTTCCGTTGAAAATAAAAATTTAGCAGGTTCTCAATAACGCAGGTTATGTAAAAAGTTATATAGTTTATTTTTAAATCATTCGCTTTAAAATTTTATTTTAGGCTATTTTCAGTTTTATATGATCGAATAAAATACATCCTATCATTTAACACATTATCACATTCTTCAGTCAATATCCTTAGGTATATCGCATATTTTTTGTAAGACTGTAATTTAATAAAAAATGCTTAAACCATTTTATCTAGTAAAACAGTTTTTCCCGCTTCTCTCCCGGTGACTCGCCTTCATTTAAGTTAAACACATCTGTCTACTTTAACGTCATTAGAAAGGAGAGGAGATTTATTTGAAGATTGGATCTATACCATTCTCTACTATTTTCACAGTTCCTAATTTTTCTTGTGATGCAAATACATGCCGCCTAAAACTTTGGTGTAGTCTAGGAGCGTCAACTAATATGGTAGTTCTAAACTAAAATTCAACTAATTATTATAACAAAAATCGAAACACTAAGAAAACTCATACCATCCGGCTGGATTCGAAACTGCAGGTTGATTTTAATTCAAATCGGAATCGGGTAGCCCATCCGAGTCTCGAAATCAGATGGGCTTCCGAGCGAGAAGATGAACCTGATTCCTACTACATCTTTCTAATTTGCGAGTTAAATCAACCATTGTTTCAATTTGAAATGTCAAAAGGTTCCGATCGGCCAGTTGTGAATCGCAATTATGCGCCTCGACTCGGAAGAGACACTGTTTCCGATCGGGTGAGGCACAAAATCAAGCTGCTGGACCCTCAGGCAATGCGTGTCAGATGCTCTGCAGCGCAGTGCATTTTTCTAATTGTTTCTATCTTTGTTATAATAATTATAACAAACTAGTCGAGTAATTTCACAGAAAATAATTAAATATCATGATAGTAAAACATCGTAACATTCAATAAACTTAAAAAAAATTGGACTTTTCGTCCATTTTCATTCTTATAATGACGTATAGTATTTAAATTAAGTTTAATCAGCTTTTAAATCTGAATTATCCAGCTTTAGTTTATGATCGACTTGAAATAGTACAAGTTTATAATGTAAATACAATTTTCTAAGCACAAAAAGTCGGTAGTAGTTCCAAAGTGGTAGTTCCACAGTTATCTACGAATCTGTATCTATTTTCAGTATGGAAAACATCAGTGAAAAGTACTCCAAACTTGTAGAAGTAATGTGTACTTGCAGTCCGATAAGTTACTTATAATGACTTTGAATGAGCCTTGTACTTTCTACTATAAAAATATAAGCTAATGGTAAACAATTTTCTAGGTTAATATATATTATCTCTTAACTCATTGAACTTTCAAAATCTAAATATTAATGATCGCATTAAAACATACAAGATTAGTTATAGGAGGATGTCCGAGATATATCCCTATAAAGTATATAATTTGTGCCAATAATAACGTCAGAGGGGATTTATGGTACACTTAACGGGACGGGACATGGTAAAGGACGGCAAAAGAGAACGTATAGGCTATTGAACAGACAGTGGCTCTATTTGAAATCAAACTTTATTACTACTTACTACAGTCGCAGTAGAGCTCCTTGAGAAAGAGTTCGTTCAGGGAAGGAATAATCTACGGGGAAGTACTCCCACCTTACCTATTTCTGCCGCCAAGCAGTAATGTGAGCATTACTGCGTTCCGGTTTTGGAGATGCTGGTGAAATTACAGGCACATGGGACTTTTCAACTTATGTCTCAAGGTAACAGGCGCAGTGGCAGTCAGTGCCTCTCAGTTTTTTTTATAATATGAAGTGACGGGACGAACAAGTCGTGCACTCATGTCTCAGGGTGCCAAGCGCAGTAGCATTGCAACTGTTATGGATAGGCGTGTCGCTTACCACCAGGTGCTACATTGGTTCGTCCGGTCGTTGGTCTGAACATTTATTCGACATAAATAGGAAATAGTTATTTATTTCCTTTACTACTAGTCCCTGTATAACTGACGTGGCCATGGCGTTTATCAGCAGTATTTTCGAGATTAAACAAAAAAAAGCTTAAGTTTACTTAGATGTACCTAGTCTGTGACGCTGCCTAACGTTATCACGCAGCCGAAACATAGTGTGGGGCGAAAAAGCCGAAACATAGTCTGTGACGCTGCCTAACGTTATTACGAAGCTGAAACATAGTGTGGGAGAAAACGCCCCTTTTGAAGTCCGTCACGTGTGTGACCACTATAACCAATTGCGGCGTACAAATTGCTTCACATAGACTATTATTTTATACCTACTTATAACTGTAATAAATTATGGAAATTACAGCTATTTTTACTGGGAATTAGTAAAACATGTTGTATTCCGAGGAACCGTCGGTTTCCACTGCTTTGTAGAACTAATAATTTGTGCACACTAAGCAAGAAATGAAATCCTGAACACGAATTTCATTCACGGGAATAAATCCACACAAGCAAACTCAAACGGCGGATATTGAAGTAATCAAGAACTCCGGAATACGTGTTCTACTTTTTATTCATTCCCTTACTCAGGTCGGCGACGTTCACCCATTTGTGGCCTCAAAGGCGTGCTCAGATTGAGTACAAATTGCATTATATCCTGATTGGCGAACTGTGATACCATTTCTTCCCAATTCGAAAGTGGTACTTTGGTGGAAAATTCCAACCGCTTTTTCCGCGAGGTCTCATTTTCCTACTTATCCTGTGCCTACATACAATCGTGCGTACACCTACCTACACTTCTTTAGATATATTTTTCCTTTTTATAAACATTTGTGTAAATACATAGTTCGGTGCAAAACTCGAGTGCTCTAGCCCGTTCAAACTTTTTGAATTATTCTATACATTGGAAATGATACTACTCAGTCACTAAACTAAGTCAGTCAATCATGACCATGGGACCTAAGGAGCCGAGATTTAAAACGTGCTTTAAAAAACAAACATACGCGATTTATGTCCGAAAAAATAAGTATTCCTAATGTGTAGTAATCGGGAAACTTAAGGACGATTTATTTGATACGCTTGAGCAAAAGATGTACCGTCCCGCATTGTTATTTTCAAGTTCCTTAATTAGAAATTCTTTCATAACACAGTGACCAACCAAATGTTTTGATATATTTGGGTAATTTTCAGGTTAGTTTTCTCTATCTTATTTCGGTCGCAATTTTTGTTATTTAAGTATTTGTTAGTTTTTTATTATTGTGAAATGTTAAGTAATATTTCAGGTACTACACTCGAATATTAAACAATACTTCATGATGGTATTTTTTCATATTTTTAAATAATAAAAATTGCCACAAAAATTAGGTACAGAAAACTAACTTGAAAATTATTCATTTATTAATGTTTCTAAATTGAGTTTTAAAACAAAACAATATTTTGTAACATAGAAATTGAAACTGTCAATCGTTGCTATTCAAGTGAAATAGATTGATAACACGCTTTTACACAAAACGCATTTACAATACTATAGATCAGGGGTTCCCAAACTTATTTTGTCTACTGCCCACTTTGAGAATAAATTATTTTTAGCGCCCCCATTTTTTCACCTACTTAAAAACCACTATAACTTCAAATTAAATTAGTGATTGTGAGCTACATTACCGGAGATTAAACATTCATTCTGATTCATTCTGCAAGAGTTAACTTGAGACCTGAGCGCAGTATGTAGTACACAACGGCGCTCAGGTCTCAAGTTAAGTCTTGTTATTTTGTATAATTATATAATCTCATGTTGTTGCGCAATTCCGTATCTTTAGTTTCAAAAAACTCTATCACAGAGTCAAACAGGTTGTAAAATCGAGTTAGACAATTGCCTCTTGATAGCCAACGAACTTCAGTATGAAACAACTAACGGTTGAAATCTTCGTCATTAGTAACACAAAGCTGATGAAATAATCTATCATTCAAATAGCTGTTACGGACTTTATTGACTGCTTTGATGACATATTGCAGTGATTGAAATAGTCGTTCACTTAAATTTCTAGCAACCAAATGTTGTCTATGAATAACGCAATGAACAGCAGGGACATCTGGAATTTTATTTTTCAAGTACGCTATGAAGCCTTTATGGCACCTTGTCATAGCCGGAGCGATGGCGCTCCGGCTATGACAAGATGCCGGCTATGACGATACGGATGGCCGTAGCAACTGATATAATATTTTTCAGAGGAATCTCTTTCTCATCACAAAGCTTGTCCATATATTGAATATGGTTTCGCTTGTTGTATCGGTCTACATTTCTAGCAAACAATAGTTCTTCACATATTTTCTCATCTTTAATAAACCTCACGTAAGACAGCTTCATTAGTTGGTAAAGTGGACTCATCGAGCTGAAATGAGAATTGACTATTCCTCAGATGATTGCACAATGATTTTCCAATGTTTTTAGCCATTTCATCAATTCGTCTTTGCACAGAATAATTACTCAAAGGAATTTTTCGGATAATATCTGCGGCCGGTTTATGAAGCACAGTAGTTATTACTTCCTTTATTGCTGGCAAAATTAACTCTACTCCCATGTTGTGTGTGTTGCCTTTTTGAGCAATTAACAAAGGGATATTGTACGAAGCTCGAAGTCCGTCGTCATCTTGCTTAGCAGCCGCCGAAAAGTTTTGCTATACTTGGCTGAGTATTATGCTTCTTCTCTAGGTCTTGAAAATATGCTACATTCTTGTCTTTCTTATCTGGATGTATTTTATTAAAATGATCCTGCAGTCTTGAAGGGTTCATTGCTTCATTCGAAAATATTTTTAGACATAGAAGGTTTGTAGGATTTTCAATGAATCCGAATTTAATATATTCCGCACAGTATTGCCGTCTCTTCTTTTTTATTTCCGACATTGTTTTGTTTTAAAAAATACGTAAGTAAGTATTGAACTTAAGTACTGCTTATCTATTACATAAATATAATGAATATAAAAATAAAATAAATATTACGTTGTTTATATAGGATTGCATAAGCAGCACGAACCGACAAGAATAAGATAAACATGCACAAACTCGTTTATCTCATTCGACGCTCAAACCTACTCAACTAGTAAGAACAAGTATTCTATGAACCAGCCGATTGATACAGGAATGCACAAATCGGGTTATTTAACAAAAACTTGTTAAAACATGATTGCCCGCGGTGTATTATCTACGAAAATTACCTATTTAGGAATACTAATAACTATTAAAATGCGAAACTGTGTCTGTTGCCCTTTTATTTTGTTTGTTTGTATTTAATTTCATTTCAAAACGCAGCGACCGATTGACATGATTTTTATTTTATTTATTCAATAAAACAGGACAGATATATGAACTACACGGAGATAAATATCGAACCGATCTCTTAGCTAATATTAGTTGATGTTCACAAGTTGTAGTCGAGAGTCGAGAGCTCAGTCGGTGTCTAAGGGTGTCGTATTAACTCTACTCAGTGCTCAAGTCAGGATTGCACTGGAAACACAGGCACTGGAAATACGGCCCTAATGGCAAGGACTTGAGTATGATTTTCAGTGCTCACTGCAATACTCAAGTCCTGACTTGAGTATTGAGTAGAGTTCTGGAATACGACCCTCAGAGTCTTTCTAGATGAAATTACAAATCTCCCCCTAAGCCTCTACACAACGCCCCCATTTTTTTTCTGGGTCTCTTACCACCTCCCTTTAGGCCTGCAGCGCCCACAAGGGGGCGTTGTCACCCACTTTGGGAAAGGCTGCTATAGATCAATAAAAAGAGAAAAATGGAAACAAAACAAATTACATTAACAACAAAAAAGGACAGACAAACAATATAAATATGCGTAACAAACAGCTAGCACTTATTTAATAATAAACAACTTGCGTGTCCTATAGTAAGTCATCAACTGTTAGCTTCCAGGTTAAGGATGCGTCAACAGAAAAACATTATGTAAATCGTATAGTGTATATTTGTGTTCATGTCGCAGTGAGTTATGAAGAGAGATTTGCGGTCGTTTCAATTTAAAGAGTTTATTAAAATCAAGCTCACAGTCGACGTCAGCCATTTTAATCATAGATCAAAGCTCCCGATGTCTTTTTCTTATCACATTTTATTCTCAAAGGTGCCCGAGGAAATTAAAATTGGCAATTTTTTTAAGTACCCTTTTTGCTGCCGTTATAATTAAAGAAGACATACTTTAAAGGCGCCTTCAAATTAAATACTTTTATAAGCACTGTAGTGACGCCACAGCGGTGCTGCAGTCGCGGCACTACTAATTTTCATACAATATTTTGAAGTGCAGCTGCAGCGCCACAGCTGCTTTTCCTGAATAGATATTGTATGAAAATAGTACTAGCGGGGCTGCAGCACCACAGACGCGGCACTACAGTGCTTCTACAAGCGGCTGACTTGTAGGCGCCCTTCCTGGGATAAAATCATGGTCCCATTCCGTACGACTAGAAATACGTCTGCCATGATCTTATTAGATATAGACATTCTTTATTGGTAAAATTAACATTTACAAGGCATACAAAAATTATAAATTATATTCGTATAATTTTCTTATATTACTATTACTTAACCAATGTGATAAGTTATATATTGATTGCTTGACGAGCCAGTGCTTTAATCTACATCTAAATAAGTTGTCCGAAGCGGAATCAACAATTTCAACAGGCAGGCAACAATTCATTGTTATATATAGGTATACATATGTATGTGAATACTCAAAACATAACTATTTCGCAGTACTAACATCTAATATAGAGCATCGATGACTAATATACACTTTAGTACTCCGATCACGCGACATTTCTAAAAGGTGTTTCGGCACAAGTATTTTACTCAATAAAATACTTTCATAGTTCATTGTTCCCTTTACCTCTTTCATATTTAAGGGGTTTCACTCTTCAGTGAAAGTTTTTTACTTATGTATCTACTTTATAATATTCAAGATATGCGGTATGTACATAATATGTATAAATCGATATCATAAAATATTACTCATCGTTTGAATATGCACATAAGAACATTACAATGTTTTGTTACCACGATATTTTTTCAATATTTTTTGTGAAATTACTCCATTACTTTGTTATAATTATATACTGAGTGAAGACAAATTTTTATAGATTTCTCACAGATGGCGCTACGGCAAAAAAGTATTTAAAAATTAAATACAAAGATAGGAGAGCGTCGGCCTGGTATGCTGAAGACACTAGTATGAATCCAGCCGGATGAAATGAAGTTTTCTTAGTATTCAATCTTTATATTAATAATTATAACATAGGTTCTTTTTAATTCAACAGAACATACAAATCTTGCAATCATTGTACGAGTCGCCTCAGGATGTGGAATTAGTAGTTGCCGGGTCGCTGGAACGCAACGTTCCAGGTGCTCAGGCTGGCCCCACATTCCTCTGCATCCTCACTGAACAGTTCTACAGAACCAGAGTTGGAGACAGATACTTCTTTGAAAACGGAGCTGATACTGACATCGCCTTCACTCCTAGTAAGTTTCGTCCAAAACTAAAGAAAACCCGTAAATAGTAGCACAATATAACGTAATAAGAGAATAATTAACAGAAAAAGGATTTGAAAAATGACAAAGGAATTACTTACTCCCATCGTTTCAAGTCATTATTATCGCTTTTCATATAAACAAGTAAATTGACTACCTGTATGTATATCTGTATTTTCTTCTAGGGTAGCGTTTTGTTTTACAATTACTAGTAAGTATGAGTATAAAGTGGAACCTGTGTAAACTAAGTCCATGGTTCTTGGTAAATATTGACCTTGAAGGTCAATAGCAGGAATAGCTTTGAGAAAGGAACAAATTTACATTTACCCTGTCCATAGGGTCGGTTCTTTGAAAAATTAATTTGCTAAATTTCGTGTTTTCCTGTCTCAGGTCAATTGGCGGAAATCCGCCAATCATCGATGGCGCGAATACTTTGTGACAACGTTAATTCAATTAATTTTATGCAACCTAGAGCCTTCGAACAAATTTACCCTCAGTAAGTATATACTTAGTATCTTCGTTTCACTTCGTTCCACTGTTACTTTTATAATACAAAGAATACTTATATGGACAAGTACAAAGAACGTTATCTGCTAACGATTTAGAAATGATGTAGCATTTACTTAATTTACGTTACACCCGATTACATTAATAAGATATTTTCACGGCTTCTCATTCATCGCTTTTCAAGAGTAATGCAATTAAGTTAACATCATGTGCAGTCGAAAAATAATAAATCCTCAGTGTTTTCTTTTTTCAATCGGCCTTGAATTTGCTATTCAATTATCTCGGCGATTTATTAGCTTATTTATTTAGGTAAAGCTATAATCAACCTCCTACGCAAGGAGAATGGTTTCATCCAGACGGGCATAATAAAGTCCATGGTAAAAAATATATTAAAGAACAAAAATACTTTACTTTTACAAGATTTATTAGAAAACAAATGAACCTTAATAAGAGACTGTGTATTTGATTTTTTTGTGACCTGGGATTATGAAACATTTATATCAAAATGTTTATTATGCAGTAAATTTGTCACCGTCTTAGGATGGCGATTACACAAACATATTTGGCAATGCAAATACGAACAGCCCATATCTTTCTACATAAGTTTTGTTTATAGTGCCCCTCCCTATCAACCTCTTGGTTATGCGGGAAGGGCACTATGGCCTGTGCGAGCGCACCTGCACAGGGACCATCAAGTCAGATCCCAATCTCGGATCAGCCCGTTTGCACGGATTTCATCCGGTTCTCTGTAACGCTAGTGCCTTAGGCGAGCCGCCCCGGGTGCACGTACAGCACTCTCCCTATTTTCCGGATAGGTACCGGAATTGTAGGCACGCTCACTTCCTCTCGCGCTCCGCACGACAAACTGTTGGCACCGCTAAGCCGCCGATTCCAAGTGTCGAAACACAAAACTGCGATGCGACGTCGTATCGCAGGAACTGTGGCAGTGGGTGCGATTTCTTGCGGCAAGGCAGATAGATGCCTTTCGCAGCAATTCGTGTCGCAGTTTTCTGCGTTGCGAATTCACATCGAGCTGATTCGCAGTTTGATGTTTCTACCGTAAGTCGACTACCAAATCTGCTCATTGGTGGCGGAGCTGTAAGACACGCGCACTTCCCGACGCCGAATGAACGGCGTCTCTCCAGTTCCTAATTCCTACGCGGCCGGAGGGACCGGAAGCTGTCTAGCTCATCCTCTACCGCGCTAGTGCCGGAGATATCAAGTAGCAGTGTCCTGCGACAATGTCCGGACATAGTTACCGACTTAAAGGGCAACTCACGTATCTCGCGCGTTTCCTCGCCTCAGGCTCTCAACTAGACCGCTAGTAAGACGAGCTAGCTGCGCGGGGAACGAACGCCCCGACCACACACCACCGGGGCAGACGAACGTGTTCGTCGCTGCAGCTAAGAACAAATCTCGGCGAGTCCATGCCCAAGTTCGGGTCCGCTAGACATGCTCGTGAAGGCGTAGTATCACTGGCGGAGGGCTTAGCCCGGACGCCCGCCTTACCAATGTCTTGCCGTCGAGCCCGTAGTCTCCCGAGCAATGTTGCGTTTTCGGTTTTGACGGGCAAGGATGCTGGTGAGATCACAGGCACAAGGGGCTTGTCAACTTATGTGTCAGGGTGACGGGCGTAGTGGCAGTTGCCCCTCAGACTTTGCAATTTAAAGTTCTGAATGGCATGGCAACTAGAAAGATGTGTAATATGCAAGGATGCTGAGAAATTCGAGTGTCTAAAAAGGGTTTGACAATAGACGGAGGCTTTTGATGGGTTTACTGGTTCTGTGCTCTTACGCATTAAATCTAAATCTGCCAGAAAATGTTATCTTTATTGTGCCCCTAAAATTTATGACCTACAGGTGAACTCTCTTTGTTGCATCTGCACAATAATAATGTTCCATTTTGTCGCCTTACTTTCTCAAATTCGTATCTTAAAGCACAAAGTTTACTGAAATGCAAAAGATGGATTGTATATACAAATTTTGCAGGCTGATTTCACATCACATTGCCTACATATTCACACCCTGGCTTTTACCTATTCTTAAAGTAATGCATGCCAATTAACACCCTTTATAAGAAATTTAATTTATATAGAAAGTTTTGCCATCTCCTGAATAATCACTCTTCAAACCATACGAGTTTGAGAAAGCAAGGAATCGATTCTTAGAATTTTTTGCAATTTGGTTTTTCTGATATATTGATAAATAATACTGAAGATTTAATGACTTCTTTTATAATTTCTTTATTGGTAGGTAGGGTTTGTACATTGTCACGTGAATTAAGTTTTCAATAGAGTTAATACAGCAAACATGTCTAAATAGAATATTTATAAAATGTGTAGTGTAAATATTTAGTGTTATTTAGTTAATGGAATTTTAGGAACTCGTAGAGAGAGATATTTATATCATTTGTTTCACAAATTTCCATGTAGGCGTATGTTTATATGAGCTATAGTGCTATTATTTGGTCTCCAACTAAGTTGTATTAGTTTACCCTTTGAATTAATTTATTGTTTTAAATTTGTTGTTGCTTACATTTTTAGAACCTTATTTGCATATTAACTGTAATTTGGTCCATATCTAAGTTGTTTATTTGCCGTACGGAGTTAGTGTGCCAAGTTTACGGGCTATATTATTTATTTGTGTTTGTTATTTTTAACTGCCTCCGTGGCCGAACGGTTACCATGCCGGACTGCCACGCAGAGGTCCCAGGTTCGATTCCCGGGCCGAGAGAAATAGTTGTATGGCCTACAATTATATCTCTCGTGAGTTTGGATGCAATCTGTAGTTGTCTATGTGTGTGTCCATGGCACCCGCGACACAGGGTTTCCCTAGTGCGGGGCTATGTTGAGTGTGTGCGTTATTTATTTATTTATTTTATTTATTTATTGCATTTGATTTGCATATCGTCGGGGATAGTGCAAATACGCGTAACTAGCATTTGATTATAAGTTTTCATTTCGGTAATTTAGTGGCCAAATGAAATCCGCGTGAATGTCGTAGCAACCAAATTAGCGTGATTTACAGAAATTCATTTGTTTTCATTCATTCATTTGTAGACAACATACATCAATGCTCACTGTGCAAAAATGAAGTCGTAGTCATTGGAATAACAAAGTAATAACGTTAAAATCCCTCTCCTGTTAAATATGATTTAGTGCAGATACGCGCCTTTTACCAATTCTATATTCTGCCTCCAAGCGGTAATGTGAGCATTGCTGCGTTCCGGTTTAAAGGGTAAGGGTGCTGGTGAAATCACAGCCACGTGGGACTTGTCAAATTATAGCGGGTGATGGACGCAGTGGCAGTGTTCCTCAGATCTTTGCGATTCAAAGTTTTGAGTGGCACTGCAATTATCATGGACAGGTTCGCTTACCACCAGGCGCACGTATTATTCATCACGTCACTTGGTAACATAAAAAAACGCATTACAATTTTTTAATATGAGTATTCTATTCATTACGCTCACTCTTGAATGCCATGAACTAAAACTAATCTAATTTGAACTCAGTGATAGAGGTGAATAGAGGCTGTCTATTTTGTTTAATAGGGGTTGCCATTTCGGAATAAGATTTTTGATTATATACACTTTTTACGTTGCAGGAACAAACTCGTACCGTGTGATGAAATACCTGCTGTGGACCTTTCTTTCTGGCACGACAGTGAATACTACAAATAAGTTATTTATATATTAATATACAACCTATGAATGAAATAAAAAGCGACTTTAATTTGTAATGTTGACGTACCGCGCAGTTTTCAGGTTAGTTTTCAATACCAAATTTTTGTGGCAATTTTTATTATTTCAATATTCTAGAATATTATCTTGAAGAATTGTTTAATATTCGAATGTAGTACCTATTCAGAATTATTATTTAATATTTCACGATAATATAATGTAATACTTACATAACAAAAATTGTCACTGAAATTAGATACAGAAAACTAAATTAACCTGAAAATTATCAACTCTGGATTAGAAAAACTTTACGTAACCGAAGCAAACGGACTTCTTTCGATGTTAAATACAAAAAAGATTGAAGAATGATGCCTAAAGTTCTAATTTGAAGTCGTTTTTGATTCCTTGACAAAACATCTTTTTTATGAAGACATAATAAAGTTATCGAAAAGGTTGTGATTAAACCTCGAATTGTAACTTACAGTGTAAATATGAATGTAAACGACAATACTTATATGGAAGTACAAATTTCATTTTGAAAGGGCGCACCTTTGCGGCTGATCGTAACGATTCCAGCCCATTCTTAATTTATTTGTACGTTATTTTGTACAGGCATTATATAGAAGTTTTTACGAATGTGTTCGCATGAGTCTCCGAGTTTTAAAGTCGGTTTGTATTAATCTCCTAAGCCTAACCCAGCAAACTACAATGGGAAAAACGCCAAATGCCCAATGTACAATGTTTTAATATACTTGACCCACTAAACGACGATACTTATATGGAAGTACAAATTTCATTTTGAAAAGGCGCACCTTTGCGGCTGGTCGTAACGATTCCAGCCAGTTCTTAATTTATTTGTACGTTATTTTGTACAGACATTGTATACAAGTTTCTACGAATGTATTCGCATGAGCCTCTGAGTTTTAAAGTCACTTTGTATTAACCTCTTAAGCCTAACCCAGTAAACTGCAATGGGAAAAGCGCTCGCGCACTACAATGCTCTAAAATATCTAACCCACTAATCATCTATTTGGTTCAACCTGTGAGCCGTAAAATTAACTTTGGTATGACTTTCTTATTGCATGATTAGTGAATGACGTTTTAAGAAACCTTTTAAGCCAATTTGATCTTTAATTACATTACATGAATACAAATTTCAACCAAAAAGCTGGAATTACTTTTTCTGTTGAATGTGTAAGAAGGCTTTCAGAGCAAAAGGTGCTAGAGTTGAATGTACTAAATATAACTCGATGCTTCAGGCTTCAAGCAAGTATACCCTCAGTTTTGTTTGAAACACGCAACCGAGATTTTTTTTTAGTATTTTTTTAGATATGGGTAGAATTTGATTATAGAAGCGTTAAATTAGATTGCGATATTTTTTACTGCGTTTATGTGATCATATAATATCGAACCATTACTGCCGGCTTAGCGTAAGCGACAAAAGACAAATTTTACAGAAGAGGTTTTTTTAAAACATTTATACACATAAATGTGATACTAAATTGAATTTCAATATATACTGTTCATTTTTAAATTGGACAGTATACAGAAGACACAAGGACACTACTGTCTTAGGAACCATTAAGTCTCTTTTTCTGAAAACAATTTTGGCATAGTAAATTTTTTGGTCAAGCGTGAGTTGTCCATAAAAAGGAATAAAATTGATAAACATTTTTTTAGTGCTAATCGACTTAGTTTCATGAAGGGATCATTTGATTGCATGGAACGAAAAAAATCGGGAAAAGCGAAGTTTGTCAATAATGGATGTTAAGGCAAAAAAGCCTTTACAATATATTTGTTATCTCTATCCAAAAATTTTTGAGGCTGAATGCCTCAAGCGTTTAAGGGAACATTTGTGATTAAAACTATGCAAGTTTGGTTAAAGTAAACGACGAAATAGTGATGTACTATGTCAGTTGAGATAACAAGTGGTGTCGCTCACCTTATGATTTTTTAATATTAATTGTGTCGATCACATCAAAATATTAAAAAAAAAAACATTTGAACGAACGATAAACACAGGTTTTGCTATAATTTCTATTTGATGTAATTTTGTCGGGAAATATCGATATGTCCTTGTTCGTTATAGTTTAAAAAACTACTTGCAATAAAAAATGCTGTTTAGGTAAAAATGTCACTTACGCTATCGTGACTCGATATTGTCTGAATATGAATTCTTAGGGGCCTTACGAGGTTAAAATATTTGTATTACTACCTACTACCACTATTCTTCTATAATTAACCAATGTGTTAGGTTTTAAATTGTATATTTAAGATGTATTTACAGTGTTTTAAAAATCTGTAACACAAATCACACATTACTTCGTATACTTTTGATACACACACACACACATATATTATATCATCTTGTTTTTTGCTGTGTGCTGCTTACTAAATGAATATCAATTACCAGCGCTCTTTTCTGTACACAATTTAAAAATGCAACTTATTAGTACTGACCATGTTTTATGTATATAGCTAAATGTAAGGTTTAGCATTATGTTATCGATTATATTATATTCAGCTTAATACATATTAGTAAATGTAAAAATGATTAACTGTTTATATGAAATGAATAAATGTGCCTTCATAAGTTTACTAAATAAGAAATGTAAATAAATTTTATACCTTAGAAAGTATGTGTTTTATTGTCGTGGGATTTTAAATCTTTTGTCCTGATAATTTACAAACAGGATTAGGTGGAATTTTGTAAAATTTTAAGTAAGTGCATGTGGTTTACATAATCTACATGCAAGGAGAAAAATGTTCCAAATCCCTTGGACTGCTTTTCGCATCAAACCAGACCAGGCTATCTACCTTAAGTCTCGGTAAGATACTTGATGGTCACATTGCCAGGAAAGAAGGACACAACCAGGAACAGTTAATGGTTCCACGGACGGATCGTATACGTCTGAGGGGTCGTTGTCCCACAAGATGGTCCGACCAAGTCTACACGGCTCTCAGCATCACATACAAAAGCTAAGGGTAAAGTCATCGCCTTTTGTGGGATTCGCGGAGGCGAAGGGCGCGCTGATGACGACAAAAAGGGTAAGGCTGGTGTGCAGTCGATGAGGCTGCCTGCAATAAGATTTAATAATGATTCGCTTGAGTTAAAATATATCACGTCGGAAACCGACAGGCTTTGCAGCAGGAGAAACCATGGCTGGAAAGGCCAATATGCAAAACCAAGAGTACCATTTCATCAATAGTTTAGCGTATGCATTTCAATAATAAAAAGAAGGGTGGGAATGCGTAGAAAAAATAGAATAGAATTCCGATTAAGTGTAAACGTATCTAGGGCAAATGCATCTAGTTAGTTAGTAATAGCGGATTTGGCATTAGTGCGGGATGCAAAAAGATCAATCTCGGGTTGTCCGAAACGTCTGACAATGGTCTGGAAAGCACGAGAGGACAACTCACACTCGGAGTCGGGATTAGTCTTCCTAGATTCTATATCGGCGCGATTATTTTTGTATTTACATAATATGCACATATGCATACAAAATTATGTTGCGCTTTTCGCACCATTGCCAAATTGGTTTACTTAAATCGTTAACCCTTGCGATTAATGTAACTGATCGCCGTAGTATTGCCGGAGTATACTCGCAACAATATAACATAATCAAATTATACTAATATAATATAAGAATACTGCAATTCTTAGTAATTGATATGGTGCTTCTTCTCAACAGCCTTCCGTTGGCCTCCTGTGCTACTCGCGCTACATACGGAATCCCAACCGGTGCGCGGTGCATCTGTATAAATTCTAATTAAAAACTTGAGTTTCTCATATACGATGAAGTCGAGTAACTATTGTATGTCCACCAACTCAAATCACTAAGAATTATAAAATATAAATTATTGTTTCATAGTTACCGATATGTTTTTGAAGACTTAGAAATTTCTGACTTTCCAGTAATTTTGTATATAACCAACCGTATTTAGTGGCTGGGCAAGCTGAGATGCGGACACCAATCAATTGAGCGTACCCCCGTATGGTACATCGGGGTAACCTCATTATTTTTTAAAGTAAGTGGTAAATTTTTTGACGTTTTTCTAAAGGTAAAGTTACACTTAAATTTCATGAATCGAAATTGAATCTTAGAAATTCACAAACTTGACATGTAACACAGACTTGCCATAATTAACGATAAAGCCTAAACATTGCAATAAGTTAATGGTTGCATTAACATTATTGATGCATCGTCATAATCAGCTGCTATACAACAAATATCATATAAATATACCACGGACTTAAATCCTTGTTGTCTCAAATGTGTTACAACTTCTTTCATGATTTTGGCAAACACTTTCGATATTGTGGACAGTAAATTCATAGGTTTCAATTTCATTCGAACCACTAGGTAAATACTAAAATCTGTGGTGGTGGTTCTTTCGGTCTGCTTCGCAGATAGATGTCGGTGAATACGCCTCTTTCCATGCGAGGTATCAATTTTGAGGCAATTCGATAGTCTTCCATTTTAAAATAATAATTTAATTTCTAATTATTTAAATTAATTAATAAGACAACGGAGAGATACTCTTGCAACACAATGACAGTAAAAAACCAACCTAAAGCACACAGAAATAAAATAAATAGTATATTAAACCTGGTGCACCAAAATAGTCAAGCCATGACAGGCAAAGAGTTAGAAATAGAATTATTTATTAACTGTAATAATATTGATATTCTTTGTACTAGCTAAACACCACTTTCTATCAAAACATCAGTTCATGTTTAGCTTCAACAATCACCAGGTGGCTAGTTCGGTCAGGAGAGAAAAAGCTATTCATGGCGGCTCTTTAATTCTTATTAAAAATAATTTAAAATTTAAAGAACGTACAGATATTGTGAGCCTATCTCTTGAGTGGACTATAGAGATATCCTGCATAGAGCTTGAACGGCTTGTTATATTAAGCGCGTACAGACCCCCTCATTCATCTTACGAACTATTTGAAAAAAGATTAGATGAAGTTTTAGGCAAATTAAATAATCCAAACAAATATATTGCTGTTTGTGGTGACTTCAATGTTAACTTATTAGAAGATTCCAGTGCTAGCAGTAGGCTCATATCATTTTTCCAATGTTATAATCTTGTGAATATTTTCTTGGTGCCTACTAGAATAACTTCCACTACTGTCACTTGTTTAGACAACATTTATACTATCGCCGTACCTAATAATAAATCTATTATAAATAAATTAACTTCTGATCACTGCGGTCAATTGGCCACTTTAAATATAACTGTTGACAAAATGCCACAAAAAGGATATCACATGTGTTCCGATATAATGGTCGACTTAAAGCTTATAGAAATAATGTAATGCTCAAACTAACTGAACTTCCGTACGTTAACGATCCCAATAAATTGTATAATTCAGTTTTCAACATAGTCAAAAGTGAACGTGATAACGTTTTGAGGTCCAAAATCATAACTATTAATAATTCATTGAAATTTAGTGATTGGGCGACTGTGGGAATTCACAAAAGTAGATAAAGACTATATGATCTTTACGATGAAAGGACTTATGACAATAGTAACAGTTTTAATGATTTTGTTAGGAATTATTCGAAAATGTTTAAACGTGTTTGTGTTGCAGCCAAAGCAATGTTTATAAATAATAAAATAAAAAGCAGCGCGAATGTAGTAAAAACGACTTGGAATATTATAAACAGCGAAACTGGAAGGGTCAAACCTCTTGAAGAATTTTGACTACTAAGTCGTTAAATTTGTCTCCCACCGCCGCTGAATCCTTACTAAAAGAAAATAATGCAGTTAGTATCACTAATTTAAGGTTCCGTCATGTATTTCCAATCGATATTGTTAAAGCCTTTAAGCCTATAAACATAAAAAATACTGCTGATCTTGATGGTTCTTCAGTCAGAGTAATTAGTTCTATAGTTGATTGTATTGCGCCTTATTTAGCCTGTGTCTTTAATAAATGTGTTGATGATGGTGTCTTTCCTGACCTCATGAACCAAAGTAAAGTTATTCCACTTTTCAAATCTGCTAGTATTTCTGACCCCACCAATTTCAGACCTATATCAATACTACCAACTCTCAAATATTTGAAAATATTATTCTAAATCAGATGTGTGCACATTTTTATAGTAATAACTAAATGTCTCCTAAGCAATTTGGTTTCACTCGGGGTCGCTCTAAAACCGACGCTGGTGTCGAGTTGATTAATCATATATTTGATGCATGGGAAGTCTCACATGTTCCTTTTTTTTATTCGGTTCACAAAACTGGATACAATTCAGATATAAACTACAAATATTTCATTTATATAGTAACCCGAGAAAAATGTATCCTACTTGATGTGAACACAACATGCAAAACAGGCGAAAATAACTGTATAAGTATCAGAATATTAAATAAGTGACAGTAAATCTAAATTTCAAGTACTTTAAGAAAACTCAACAAAGTCAGTCGTGTAGTTAACATAATAGACGTTTTCTATTTGAGTTCTTAGCTGAGACAACAGAACCAGTGAAAATATCGAAATCAAGATAGATAACATTGTAAGAAGAACACATGCTAGTTAATTCTACAAATAGGGAGGTTTTACGATTTTGCAGGAGACTGCCAGGACGGGGGACGGAGAAACGTAAACGATGCAGGATGTCAGGTGCAGCTATAATACCATGAATAATTTTGAATAAAAACATTACATCATGAGTTTTACAGCGCTTTTGCAATGAGAACATGTTAAAGTGAGAGAGACGAGATTCGTACGAGAACAGCTGTTTACATTTAAAATCATTGTATGTTAAATGATAGAGGAAACGTTTCTGAATACTTTCAATTCTATTTGAATGAACCTGGTAACTTGGGTTCCACACAGTAGAGCAATATTCTAAAATACTGCGAATTAAACTGTTATAAATTAAAATAGATACAGTTGGCTCGTTACAAAATTTTCATTTGTCTTGATACAAAACCGGTTAGCCTAGAAGCTTTGCTAATGATTGAATCAATATGCTTATTAAAACTTAGTGTAGCGTCTATGACGACACCAAGTCTCGAATACTGCTGACCTCTGTTAAAGGTGCATTGTTTATAAAATAAGTCACAGCTAAAGGCCTCCGGCGCCTGGTGCACTTTATGTGGTAGCATTTATTAGTATTGAGAACCATATAGTTATCGTGACACGTAACTGTGATCTATTACGCAGATAAGACTCACACCATCTTAGCAAAGATCCATGAATCCCCATGTGTTCCAACTTGTACAGGAGAATATCATGGCGCACGAGATCAAACGCCTTTTTAAATTCTGTGTATATTGAATGTACCTCACCACCCCCATCTAAAACATCTGACAAATCAGATACATATTCTACTAGATTTGTGGAAGTTGATTTTTGGGGCAAGAACCCGTGTTGGTTGGTGTTGATTAAGTGCCTGACATGTGAATAAATTTTATTTTGTATCAGCGATTCTAAGATTTTACCAGCCGCTGATAGTATAGATATTGGTCTGTAGTAACGTCCTCCGAGCAACCTGATTTATGAGTAGGAGTGATATGTGCAATTTTCCATTTGGATGGGAAACCAAACCAAATTGCAATGACTTATTATAAATCATACTAAGTGGTTTGTACAAGACTTCGGCACAGTTT